CGACTGCCCAAGTAATATATACGGAATTATTCCGACTACATACGACAGTCGTCCTCAACTATGCTGGAGCACGGGCTGATAAATACTATGTGTGAATTTGTCTACCATGTGGAAAAATTCTGGATGAGTCTGGAAACACAATTTAGTGGGATTATAAGTCTTTCGCGGATGATGTTCTTCGATGTTTAAAACAATCGCTACATATAGGAAATCTAGCGCTAGATATCGCCACTATTTTAGAATAAAAATATTGACGATTTGAAAATGAATGGAGAAAAAAAGATATTGCTTCATGATAGATGATATATTAAGAAAAAACTCCATATTTTTTTCTTAGATTCTGGGGCGCTCACCCAGAAAATGTAAGCATCATTTATCACGGCGTGATTGATAGTATAAATACAATTAGACATGTATGAAAAATTCCATCTTGTTTACTCTTACACTATCTTGTCTTAAGGCAATACGAGAATTTCGAACTGTATCCAGTAATATGCACTGGCACAGTTTGGATCTCAAAGTGACTGGAGGTAGTAACACGCGATTGCTTCTGATTTAAGTATTTTGTGCAGCTTGAGAAACCAACTCCTGTTTATCAAACGTCCTATACCTATATAATATAATTGTGAACAGTGTGACTATATATACTGATCAGAATAGAAATACAGTCTTTAATCGGTGTTTTTAAAATATTACAAGTTAGCTAAAGTTGAAAAGTATCTCAATCTACCAAAAAAGACTGCTATAAATGGACAATTGCTCATCGATATTTATACACCGATTTTCACCAGTCAAAGCCATCAAAACCGAAGTAATTGAAATATTCACTTTCACCCCATTAATGTCTCTACATGTGGGTAAGGGATTGCAATGAGGCTGCAGATGTGGCGGCTGGTGACAGCCCCATTGACTATGACAATATGCCAAGTCCCACTATAAGTGGGAAAGTCGCATCGCATGGGAGAAACGGTACACATCTGCTGAACAAGGCGCTTACACTGAAAACTCCTCCCACATCGTAATATACAACCTTTTTTCAGTAATTCGTCCATCGATCAGATACTCACTGGACATGGATATAATAAAAGCAACCTCAGGCGTTTTCACATCACGGACAATGCCAATTCCTGTGTGCCCCGCCAGTGAGCAAACGTTTAACCACTTACTCAAAAGCTGCCCCATATTCTGCGGGCTAGGGCTATATGAACAAACATGCCAATTAATGGAATGGTCCATTATCATCTATTAAAAAAAATCTCTGAACTCAGTCTATCAATTTAACTCAAACAATAAATGGCACTTAAATTAATTATATGTCTCATATATATATATATATATATATATATATATATATATATATATATGTAGTGTGTGTGTTATTTTATATGTGTATATATGTGTATGTGTATATATGTATGTATATGTATATATATGTATATATGTCTATATATATGTGTGTGTATGTATATAATAATTGGGAAAAAAAAAAGGGAAAAAAAAAAAAAATTGAACACTTACCTTCACTAACGGCATTGCAGGTGACTGCCGCGCCTTTTAATGTCATCATAACCATTAAATAAAAATCATTAATAACAAGTTATTTGTCATATCGGTTCTATATCTGTGAAAAATAAAATGTATACCTGCAAAATTATCTAGACTAGAGACTTCTGTATCAAATCGCAGCTTAAGTCAATTGATCACGATATACATCGTATCCAAATAATAGGTGGTCGCACTATATATATAATAGTTAAAAAACTTGGATCATTGAAATTAAGTCATCGTTTCAAAAATAGATAGATCGCTGAATTGATGATCTCAACCAAACTTAAAAAATACGCCAATATATGTATATATATATAAGTCTATTTAGAATTTATATATCTATAGACAACTACGATGAAATTAGTCATTGGTTTAAGTCTTAGTAAATATTGCTTACTACTATATAAAAATAAATAAATGCTAATTAAGTTGCTTAGAAAAACTTCTATAATTTTAGATAAATATGTGTGTGTGTGTTTGTCTGTTGCCGTTAGGCAAAATAAAACGATAAAATTCTAGTAAAATTAAAATTCTAGTAAAAGAATTATAGAACCTCATTATAATACATAACTAATAAAATTATTAAAAATACATACCTAGTAAATACTTAGTGCACCTACATACGTACAATTAATGTAGTGTACAAACACCCTTATATTGTAAGCATTCCGCACCTGTGGCTATAAATCGAACAATTATATTTTCTTATCAGTAATTATATAAAAAAAATGTGTATTGTATTTACTTTATTATTGTTATATAAGCGCTTATAAAACGGTTATCAAATTAATAAAAAATATGATAAAATATTTAATAACGATTTTATTTATAATCACAGAGTCCAGACATCATTCATTTTTTTGTTTAGTTATGCAAGTTTGACATTTATTTTTGAACATGATAGAGTTCACTTCTATATTATTACATATGTGTGACTAGTGAAATTATCCTTGTTCTTTTGGGAATAAAGATCTAGATTTTCTAATAGTTTTTAATCTTGTTGATATTCCAAAAAATACTCTATGTTTGTGGCCTGTGTTTAATATACATATAAATAACGAAATCGATATATTTTTTTTTATATAATGTCCAAGTACTTAAGCATTAAAAGATATATATTTGGGTATTTATATACTCGTATTAAACAATACGTGTCTACTATAGGCAAGGTTCCGTCTGTAAGTATTTCTGTTCGCTAAGTTTTCATAGCTAAACTATTGACTACTAATAAAAATAAATTAAGCTTGCTGGCTGTTTTCCTCAAGTTAGCTTCCGTTATTTGTCATCAAAATTCACAGAAGTTACTAGTTCCTTCTTGTTAGGAATAAGATAGTATCAGGTCAGATAATTTATAAAACTGCCTTTTATTTCTAAAATAGTAAATAAAAATCAGTGAACTTCCTACACTTTACCGACGTCCTTCTTAATTATAAATTACCTTATTTAGTTTTATAGTATTCAGCGCTACATCAAAAGACTCATGGGTTCGAGTCACGCAGTTAGCCGCTCCTACAAACTATTCAACAAAAGTACCACTATAAAATAACCTGCCTCCTCTCTCTTTCTTCTACCGACGATAGAAGACAATGGGCTATTGGTCAATGGGTCACTGTTAACACTTTAATCAATTTTAACTAAACCTAGCAACTTTTTGAGATTTGTTAACCATAAAAAAATATATTGTAAGGTAATTATTTTAGTTACCACGTTATTTCTGCTTACTTATTAACTATTGTTGAATTAGCTTTCCAGACATTGTTTTTTAACCGACTTCAAGAAGAAAGAGATTCACAATTCGGTTGTATTTTTTATGTTTGTTACTTTATAACTCCAGTAACCAGTCATAAATCGATTTGGAAAACTCATGTTTATTTAAAACGGTATACTTATTGATTGACTCCATAGAAATATTAACAAAACTGGTTCAATAATTTAGTTTTTAAACATATTTTTTTTTTTCGCTAAAGAAGTTGTTCTTTTTTTTGTATGGAACACGACCTTAATATGATGTTGGGGAAAAATAATAAAGGCATATTTTTATGCCTTTTTAAAAAAGATTTATTATTACAGCTACTTTTTTTAACCAGTTACTTTAGTTATTTCTCCATTTCCACAAGTTTTCAAATTTTGCTATCTCGCCACTTTTTAAGTATAATTTAGCAACTAAGCCGAGGCAGCAACAGTGCAATTGGCGAAGTATTCCGAAACATTACGGCTCTTATTTGTATGGCGTGATCAACGCAGTAGGCGTATAGTCGAGGCCAAAACAAGTGCAGAACTTTATTTAAAGACCTTAAACTCATAGACATGTCCCAATTGGTTTTACGTGTAGGTGGCGACAGGCGGTCTATTTTGTATTTGCTAAAATGGACATATGTAATGAATTTCGCAATCAGTTACTGTTAATAATACCTAAATAATCAAATACTTATTTCTATAATTAGAGTATAGACGCATTTTTTCCTATAAGTGTATGAAGATCGTTCAATCACCGTGAAACGGTTAGACATATGTTTACATAAATATTGGCACAAAATAGGCCATGGCCTACAAACAACACAAATTCACCTAATAAGATTTTATTTGTATCTGTACATAGTCTTACTAATATAATATAATATTACAAATGTGATATTTTGATTGTTCGTTTTCTTATAAAATGTGGTACATAGATGGACCATGTTCTGGAGAGTGGGGGTATGCCCATCCTAGAATTGTCTAGCACCCACCTCAGAACATATACAACTTTTTTTAAAGTTAGTTTAACTCATCTTGGAAAATAATTTTAAATACGCTAATACCTGAATTGTCACTCAGGATACCCTTCAGGATATTCTTTTATAATAAGTCTCGCGAGGAGAGCCACGAATTACCGCTAGTAATTTATATCTTCAATTGCTATTATAAGTAATACATATCATACAATATAAATATTACAGGAAACAATGTTCCTACCGTCTATGGCGCTTTTAACAAGTCAAATAATAGGCAAATAAATTACAGAACTCTACCACAAAATACAACACTAATCTTGCATATTTCAATCTATAAGTACCTATATACATAATTTATTATCTAAATGCACTATTTCTTTCCCATTACTGTAAACGGTTGTAACATGCATAAATTAGGTAAGTACTTTACCTATTAAGTGGGTTCAAATGTTATAGTGTCACTCAGAGTGCGTACACATATAGAAAAGAGTAAATAACTGTACTTAGCGAGTCAAACGAAGCTCGTATTTCCCAACCAGCGGGCATAAGACCATTACCCTTCGCATATGTAGATTTTGGCCCTTTAGTTCGTGTTTACTTTAAGCATTAAAACAAGGCCTTAAATGAAACAAGGCGCGTTAATGAAGTGTTTATTTCTTTATTCAGCGAGACAACTATAAAACACAGTAATAGATAAAAAACAATAAAGAGTAATGAGATATTAATTATTCTTGCTACATTGTTTTTTTTTTTTCTTCTTTTTACTCCAATCTATTTTTCTTATATAATGCACATTTATTAGATGTATACTTTTGTTCTGGTTATTCTTAGTAGTTAAAGTATATCAGTTAAAGATTGAATGTTGTGCTCGCCTTTTTTATAGGTACTTTTATCAGATCTTATTTTATATAAATGTATTTTTAATATGTAATATATGTACTATTGATGTGTCTTCATAAATGAATAAATAAATAAACATAATAATTAGACGTTAATTCCATCAAATGTACCTAGAATTCCACTGTGCTTTAAAGTTTAAATAATCAAATAAAATAAATATAAAAAAATATTCGTATTATTTCTTATTAGCCGACAATTGTGAACGGTTCTGATCTTGAACATCTTTATTCTTATGACGTCGTCGAATCCTTCCTATGTCTCTTGTCGTTTCTAAGAGCTCGTAGAAATGATTCACTGGTTCTAACCAAGCGTATCCCTGGTCCGCGTTACCTAGCCATGTATGGCCGTTAGGATCGGTCAACGATAAGCAGCCAAACGGGGAGTTTTCTATAAAGCTACATGTCAAAAGGCTGCCATCTGGATATAGGTACTTCCCAGAACCATTGTAACACCAATCTCTGAAGGACCCTTCGTATTTGGAACCGTCGCTGAATGAAATTAATGTACCGTCGTTGGCTCCAAGCTTATCACCGTCCCATACACCGTTATAGATGTCACCTTCGGCAGTGGTATAAATACCAGGACCTAAAATAATTGATTCCTTACTTGTGAAAGTAAGTTCGTTTGTTACCCCTTAGCGTCTTAACGGTTTAACCAATCATTATGGACTTTGGTATACACGTAATATATATGGGATGGTTGCCTCAGTCACGTGGATGAAGTCGAGGTTAAAAGCTGGTCTTCTATATAAATCGCATACCATGTGGGTGGGCAGTATGTTTGTTTGCCACCATCACCACTTGTCTATAAGAATGGATTGAATATAAGCACATCACTTCAAAATGGCTGTAACTATTTAGCTAATTTTTTTTTGTTATGTTTGTAATTGTCAAACAAGGTCTTGTAAAGAAAATGTTCAAAAAATCTTAATTCAGATACCATAATAATATAATGAAAACTTACTGATTTTTTTTATACTTGATATAGTTATCAGATATTAATATGTACTTACTCGACCATTTAAATTAATAAATTATAGCATTGTGTTTGAATACCACAAGATAAAGTGATGCATATAAATGTAAAACACAATCAGAGCGCAACGTTCCTCGGTAGGTAGATACCTACCTCTGTTGAGTGGAATCGATCGCGATACGGTACATTAGATTTTAGTTGATAGCAGAATAAATTATCCAATGATAGTTGCTACATCCTGTATAAAGCCATTTAAAACAACATCTGTATTACTACTATGAAGGCACTGACTCTTGATATATAGTTAACGCTAGTTTGGGAGTCAAAATTACATGTCATTTTATTGTATACTAGCTGTTGCCCGCGACTTCGTCCGCGTTTCTGTCGTTTTTCGTAAAATAAGTAGCCTTGTCCTTCCTCACGGTTCAGCGGTTATAATGTAACAGACACATTTCCATTCACTGCTCTGCTCCTATTAATCGTAGCGTGATGAAAGTATACTATATAACCTGCCCAGGAGTATGAAGAATAATTGTATCAAGTTTCGTTAAAATCCGTCGAGTAGTTATTATTTCTATAACGAACATACAGACAGACAGACAAAAAATTTACTGATTGCATTTTTGGCATCAGTATCGATGACTAATCACCCCTTGATAGTTATTTTGGAAATATATTTCATGTACAGAATTGACCTCTCTACAGATTTATTATAAGTATAGATAGAAGATAGTTTATAAAAAAAAAAAAGAAGATTACTATTCTGTGTACAAAAGCACGTATACTGCTTTATTTATGTAAGTAAATACAAATCGTCATAGTCGTAAAATACTGATAGATCTGACAAAGATTAAATATATATATCCGTCAGTATTCTACGACTATGACGATATAACTATTGTTGAAAATGGTAACCGTCGCCTATAAACATGAATAGCGTCATGAACATCACCAAATACACTGTGACTCCCCTCATATATTGCCATTCTTTAAGATTATAGCGTTATGTCTTCATACTCTATAATTTCGTCGCCATATCACGGCCTTGATGCTTTTTTATTCTTCTACTACTACTTCTACTTTTACAAAGGGTATCTTTCGCTAAGTGAAGAGTACCTTTAGAGTAACAAAATAGAGGTAAGTATGTAGTAGGTACCTTAGACGTAAATATCAGTAAATTTCTTTTAGGTAGGTAACTAGATAGGTAAGTAATTTCCAGTTATGACAAAAACGGTTGGTATTCATGTTTACAGTATATATGTATATATAATTGCCTTTAAATCAAATAGCGTCATGTTTACCATGCATTTTAACGCTTCTGTCTTTCTTTTTGGCTTCAAAGAAACCGTCATAAGTATCACCGGTAGCGTGTTGAAAGAAGCCTTGGTCTTGAACAACTGGTATCTCCTTTACGGGTTTCTTCACTTCTGTAGTCTCGGATTCAAAGTCCGTTGTCGTATCAATCATTTTTGTTAGCTAAAACATGTTTTGCGCAATTTTATTTAATAATATTAGTCATATTAACGTAGCAAAACAGCCCTCCTAGACAAATGGCAAACGAATTGTCGATAGAACCGTTATCGCTTTCAAGTTCAGAAGATAGAATGAGATAGGTACATCTGGTGTCTTGTTGTTTCTTATGCGAGCGCCAACTAAAATTTAGTATTATTATAGTAATAAGGTCAAATGAGGAGACGATGGGACTAGTATAGATAGCGTGAATGGGATACGATAGAAAGAACAGTGTCAGTTTGAGCTCGATGTAAAAGTCGCCGCTTTTCTTTTTTACCGCCCACTGATCTCTACTGATACTCCGCTATCAATAATATATTTTTGGCTTTTACCCGTTGGAATGAACTAGATGGCGCTATCATTAAGGGAGAAAGTACAGGTAATACATATGAGTATGTATCATGTTTAGTCTAGCTTGAGGTAACAATATAAGTAAAGCTTGTATATAATTAATAACTGATAAGAATACTTTTTTCACTTGTATAAATAATGTCGTGAGAGAAGTAAATCCGCAAACATCCGTAGGTGAGTATGTTAAACCGCTACACTTTTTTTTTTGATAGGTGAAAATGGTATGGTAACCCCGCCTGCGCTAACGGGATACGCTGGCGGAGCACCAGTGAAGGGTGACAGATGAGAATGAAAACAGGCCAGTTAGCCCATCATGATGAATTCATCAGGAATTAACCATGATAGTTTCCAGGGGGAACCGCGAGGAGGTCGACCTGGTTGGGTATATTGCTAGCAATGGGATTCTCAATCTCCATTACTAACAATCCCTTTCCCCCCAACTGCTACACTACCAAGGCAGTAAATTTTTTTTTGATATCAACAATATAAATAAACAAATATGCTTACCACTATAATCTTTGATGGGATATAAGAATTTGTCAGGTATTATTATATCTTTATTTTTTTCTTATATTTTATAAATCTTTATTCTATGGACCAAAATGTACTAAATTCTTAATATATTTAAATTAATTGTAAAATTAGTTTAAAATTATCCATAAAACAGGAATTTCGCAAAAATATCAATTTAAATTATAAGATTAAAAGATAAGTTTAGAGAAATAATGCCTCAGAATCGACCCCATTGTTGTGTTGGTAAATCTATACTTACCTACTAAATATATAGAAACAAGTATCTACTCGGCGTTTTATCGTTTACTTACGTTATTTAACCTGATTATTACGTAGGATAGACGGTCGTTAATGAGCACCAATATATTATATTAATTAAAGTACTAAGCAGCCGCGTGACACACCGTCCATGACACGACGTGCTCTATTTTTTTTCTGCACGCGAACTTTCATCCGACCATGACCTAAAAAGATTTGAGGCTTCAATAAAATTCTAAAATTACTATATCTACTATATAATTTTTCTGTGATGAGTTGTTGAAAAGAAAAATGTTGTAAATTCTGTGAACGTGTATTCTGAATACCACGAAAGCAACCATATAAACTACTATATAATAATATATACTATATATTATTATAATTTATTATTATCAAATAAATGACATATTTATTACTAGCTGTATCCCATATCTCATAATCGGTCATATCGTGATGTTGAATAACTTAGAATGTTTGCCAATGCAAAAAGAATTTCAAACTTCGACTTGTAGTCCTTTAGAGATTAGCGCGTCCATACAAACTTTTATTATACAAGTATAGATCCTTGATAAAAATATATTTTGTAAATGCTTGAATAACTATTAAATACTTTATAAATACCTACCTCGTTGCAATGCGGTAGTTATTGCAGTATTACCTGAACATAAATCAATGAGCTTTAATAAGAATAAAAAATGTATAATAACATTTTTTATTTTTATTAAAGCTCAAACATTACACACACACATTTAAACAGTGATTACTTTTTCTCCTAGATATACACATTATTTGAATAATGGAATAAATAATTTAAAAAAATATATGTACGCACGACTACTACCTCCTAAAATTTTTTATCTTATTAAATACTAAAAATTACCAGGCTACGGTAACCGCTTACCATCAGGTGGGCCGTATGCTTGTTTGTCACCTCAGTAGTATAAAAAAAAAACTAAGAATTAAAATATAAGTAACTGAAAAGCTAATACCTCTTATTAAAATCTACTTGGTTTTAAATTTTTTTTTTTTTTATTTACATGGACTCCCTTTTTTTCAGGTCTTTCTCGTCATTCTACTTATTACATGATCTTGTATACGTGCGGAATCTCAGAATACACTATCCTAAGCATTTAACAATTTCGTCCCTTAATGGTCAAGAAAGTCTCCTATTAGGTTAATTTAATATGTTCCATCAGAGTACTAGGTTTCATTCTAAATATTTAATGACTTCAACATGATAGAAAAACAAACATTCAAACGTAAATATTTGATGGTAGGATATTGAAGAAGGTTAAAAGGCTCATCCTACACAAATTAATACAAATATGCTTTGTATAATCCGCCGAATTTAATAGGTCTCTCGTGCTGTGGGTGTAACATTAATGAACTAGTATATTTCAATCAGTAGGTTACACAAAGCAAATCTTGTTAGGATTTGTGTTCGACAGGATTTTAACCTCCAGATAACAGATAGGTAGAGACAATAATTATAATAAATAAAAGGCACGTATAAGAATAAAATATATTTCACTATCGTCCATATATCAACTGGCAGTATATAAAAGTCAAGACGTTAACAACACTTGCATAGTATGCCAATCACATCTTGCACCAAACATCTAACCAATGTATTTACATACCTACGCTTGACTAATCCAGTTATAAATATCGATTTTTTCTACTGTAAAGTAATAAAAATTAAACCGATATAAAGCAGGTAGATCTTTACTCCAAAACAATAGCCGAATACTCACCGGATATCACAAAAATGCGTGTAAATTGACCGAGTCACTTGTAAATAAATAATATATTTGTTGACATTGATTATATGTTTAGTTACATATCATAAAGCAAGAAATACTCCTGCTTTACAATATATAATAGGCAGCAAACATATACCAAGTAACATTAAAATTATATGGAGTATTCACCATTAATAAACATGTAATTATTGTACGTTCATTACTTAATTTGCTAAATAAATAATCACTTAACATCTTTAACAATCGCACGTCCTTCGTAAAAAGTGAAATGAATGATGAGGTGATAGAAACTTAAGGGCAAACACACTTACAACTTGAATTTTTAAGTAACTTACAATAATTTATGGAATCAATTCTCTTTACCGCACTGTTTATAAAATATACATACAACGACAAATATACCGTAAGGAGGATATGAAAATGTATTCACACAAAATGTATTGTGTATTTATCAATTTGATATCGAACATCTGAGTTTCATTTATACGCTGTAGCTTATCCCCCGCTATTCAAAAGATGTCAATAATATCATAACATTCAAACATTATAAAACAATATGTCTTTTCAATTACAATTTTCAGAATGTACCTATTGATATACCCATTGCAAAATTTTAATTTTTAATAACAGTACAAATATCACACACCAGAAATGTATTATTGTGTCTGATCTATTACTCGAACATTTCTGGCGATATACATTATAGGCATTTCATTTATTAGCTTAATTACGTAAAAAAATCGTTGGCTACTAGGTATACTCAGCAAATACCATGAGTCTATAATTATTTGTCGTTAGTCGGTTGCATTTTTACATTATAATATTGGAGGGGTCTTCGAGGTTCTTTCTTAATTCGCTCATCCATTGTGCGCCAACCGCGCCATCAATAACTCTGTGGTCTGCTGAAGCCGTGAACGAAATGAACTTCGCCGTTCGGAATCTAAAAAAAATAGTAGTGACAAAAAAATGTAGATTTAGTTTTGATATCTATTATATAAAAATGAAACAAGAATAAAAAAATCTCATATATCTAGAATTTTTATCTGTAGTTTAGCCCTATGTTACTACAACTAAATTCTGCAAAAGTTGCTGTTGCAGTAAGTTTTATTCAAACTATGTATTTAGCAATTAATAGATCACAAGTGAGTAACGAAATACAAAAATAATATAGAAATAGTTTAATACAAACTACTACATCAGTATCCAAGGAAGCAACACTTAGTTAGGTGCATATTGCCCATCTCAGAATTATCTAGTGCCCACCACAGGATGCATTTAAATTATACGTAAAGTCATATCTCAGAGTACATAATGTGCCTTTTTTAACCCCCCCCCCCCTCTCTTTACTGGTGAATAATCTTAAATATGTCAATATAGTAGTATATAGTAACAGAGTAAGGACACCATATGTCTCCACTTCACATCCCCAAAATATGGTAAGAGCTGTCTAAGAGAATGAAACAAGAGAAATGCAAGAAAAGGAAGACTCAGAAACACGGTACTAAGCCTAGCTATCATTGTATTATTAGTAGGCTAGAAAACCACCTTTTATGGGGAGATCCATGCTTAGTAGTGGGACATTTAACGGGTTATCAACATAGGGTAAACAAATATTGAATTTCTTTGTGATCTACGATCGGTCGGTCGTTCGTCGTATTATAACTGGATAAGATATATAATACGCATTGTTACCATTATCGTGTAAGAGGTCCATTAAACAATTCTTATTGTTATATTAAGTTTGTCATATATATTATTAAAAAAAAATAGAAATACATACCCTTCTGGAATATTCTTATCAACAATAACTAACTCCTGTACACCACCGCACGCCAATATTAACGATTGTGGGGGATTAATGATGGCGTTGAACATTGTAATACCTAAAAATGATTTCGAATTAAATTATACAATCTGACATTATTATTTGGGTATTACAGTGATTATAATTATTGGATATTTCTCTTTAACAAATTTTTTTATTATAATTCAATTTTTTTTTTTATTATACTAGGGAATTCACTTACCAAACATTCCGAGGTTGGAAACAGTAACAGTTCCACCCTGGTATTCCTGTGGTTGTAATTTTCCATCTTTGGCTTTCTGTGCTAGCTCTTTCATCGTCTTGGATAGATCGATGATGCCTCGTGAATCGGCGTTGAACAATATCGGTGTTATTAGGCCAGATGGAGTGGCTACTGCCACACTGACATCAACGTTTGAGAATCTGAAAGTAAATGATTTTTATAATGTACTATCGTGACGTCCTGACGGATCTTAATTGTACCAATTATATTAGGATATTATTTAAAATATTTTAAAATAGGATATTATTTAACAAGCAGTGACGTTTTGAAACCAATCGTATAAAAATAATAAAAACATTTTACAATTAAAACAGTGGAAGAAAGTATAAATATTTTAAACAATATCATATAATCGATAAAATACTATTACAGAGAGATATTAAAAAGAGTAGAATATAGTAACTACCATCAGTAGAAGAATGAGTTAAATGAAACATGTCTTCTTAAAGTACGCTATACACAATGTCGCATTTAAGCATAAACTACATAGGCTACAACCCAGGAGTCACCACTATAAATGGGCCCTCACTAAAAATGGACTCTTGCCTTAAATGGGCAGAATTAGTTACAAAGTTAGATAAACGGGAAAATGGAAACTTAATTTACTACTAATATGTATTGAAATTTTATTACTAGCCATTGCTGGGAATTCTTTTGGGGATCTTTCACATGGGAAGTGTAATTTAATAAACAATATTGAATATTTCAATAATTCTTTCTATTTTCGTCTCATTAATTCAATTGAATTTTAAGTACCAAATACCTGTACTGATACTTGGTAAAGGATTAAAAATAAAAAATAAAAAAATAGAAAACTAAATGTAATTTTAAGATATATTCGTAAAATGAGACCCAACCCACAGATGTAGCCTAGGGGCCTACAAACTTTAAATACACTATAAATACAGTGCTAGCTATACTTAAACGCTACGGTTGTACTGATACATATGCATTCGTTATATTTCGTATCAAACTAGCTACTTCTTGTAACTTTATCCGCAAAAACTTATTGTTTCTTATTTGCATAATTAATGAGAAATATAAAATAAGAAACATTGTTCCATTGGAGAAAGTATAAACTCAGCACACTCAAAGAGATTTTTTCAATATACTATATGTTGGTAAAAAGAAATTAAATTAGTAGTTTATTATTTATAGTACAAGCTTTACTTAGGTCGGGACTAGAGGGCGTTGTATGTTACAAAAGTCACTTACTGTCTAATAAAGGTGTCTTGCCAGTACGAATTAACCACTGGCACTCTTTTACATGCTGCTGCCACTGCTTTGACAATGAAATCGTTAACTGACACCTGCATAATGAAAAAAAAAACAATTATAAAAAATAATAATAATACATATGAAAATAGAAAAATTAATATGAAAAATAATGAAGTCTTAAAATATTAAATTATTACGTTAGAAGTGGATGTATGATGAAAGTTTTGTTTCAAATGCATATTTTGACATTATTGCCAAATTCAAATCATAATAATAACAAAATTAGACATGACATTGCAAGTAACTCTTAATAAATGTTACTCTATATAAATTGCATGGTTTTTTTTTTAAACTACAGCCCAACGAGTAACCGTCGCTATTAATGTAGCTTTCTGTAGGAGAAACAGTTTATAATATCAGTTAAGTTTTATAATTAAATAAAATATTAAGGCATACAGTTAAATCTCATATTAAAAAATAACTAACCTTTACACCAGCTTTTTCTTCCTGCAGCTGCTCATTAACTCTCTTCCTCATCGCTAGAGTCTTCTCAACATTCACAGTCATAGTGAGCTGATAATGAGGGATGCTCTGTTTGGCGGCGGAAAGACGCTTCGCGATGGTTTCCCGCATGCCAGACAAGGGGATGTCCACGTAAGAAGCGCCGGGTGCAGGCGCGGGCGGCGCTGGAGCCCCGCGAGACTCCGCAGCCTCCGCTGCTGGAGCGCCTGCGAGATCCCCGCTCTTCAGTGACCCATATAGTCCAGAACCTTCCCCTGTAGTTGGCATGAAATAAACTTTTAATAGACGCAATCTATTATGCAATTAAATGTTAATAAAATTTGATATTTGAAAATTATAAACGGTGAAGTAAATAAGTATTTGAATTTATGTCATACCATCCACCAAGGGCATTTTCAAAGATTACATGATTATGTACTATTTAATTTACTAAAATTTATTTTATACAATTTTAAAATTAGACTATAACCAATCTTGACATATGACAAGGTTGGTTCAAAAGAATTTCAAAAAATTCTCTCATAACATTATAGAATTTTTTTAAATCTACTACACATATTTTGTATACACAATCGTGACTTAACGCGATGACAAACCTTTCCAGATAAAAAGTACCTACATACCTGCTTATTTATTGCCGACGTTTCTACGCGCATTGCATTATATGTGTAAACAATTCGAAAGTTTAAAATTAACTAACCTACCCATCAATTTTTTTATAGTTACAAATATATGGTTAAATTTGAAAGTTGCATCTCAAAAGCTTTTTTATCCACCTCCTATTGAACCTAACGGAAAATTGTTTAATATTACAATATCTCTATTCTCTATATACCTACTCCCAAGTCAAAAGGTTGCATCTATAATCAAAAATTCATAATTTTGATACCAAAACTCACATATGAATGGTACAAATATATGCTGATAGCACATAGCACTAACTAACATCGCCTGCAATCTACGAAACGCCAACATACAGGTTTAAATTAACTAATCTTCATGATGAAGACAGACATAAAAGCATATTAATTACATTAATGAATTCATTAAACATGGAAAATACAGAGTCAATATAGAAGGAAATATAAACAAGCTGAAGTGACAATGGGCTGGTCACATAGCTCGAAGAACCGACAACAAATGGGGAAGGAATATTCTTGAGTGGCGACGTACGGGAAAACTTTATGTAGGACGACCTACATTAGATAAGAGTGACGACCTCAAATACATTGCAGGGAGTCAGTGGATGCAGGTAGCTCTGGACCATTCCTTATGGCAGTCTATGGGAAAATCTATGTTTAGCAGTGGACAGATAATGGCTGAGATGATGATGATGATAGAGACAAATAAATACTAAGATTACTATGTATGACGTTATGAGGAAGCTAATATGATCAGTCAAACATACCATATACAACAAGTCTTTACTCCGCACAATTAGTAAACATTGAATATATCTTTTTATCAAAATAACAGCGCACATTATAAACAAATTAATTGGTAAAATCAAAGCGTATTTGATGACATATTACTGCTTGTTCTATTTTTAAATGATAAAATTCGATAAAAATACATGCTAAAATTGTTTATTAATTGTGCCATGTACACACAGATTGTAAGGATACTCTTTCTAACTTAATTATATTTCAGAATAATTGAAATCGGACAATTCAATTACATAATCGATGTGATAAAATAGTCGATTTTATCATCGTTACATCTCTAGAAACTAAATCCAAACGTCATCCTATCTATGTGAAGAAGATATGATCACGCCATCACGCTTGGTGATTATGATCATTATACATGATATTCTTGTGACACGCGTTATATAAATTTGGAAGGAAATATATAAAAGATATCGAGCATCAATAGCGTGCATGAACATTAATTAAAACTTCTGTTTGGCTTTGATAAGGTGGTGAAAAATGTTTATGATAAACTGTCTCTAAACAGATAACAAAGAAGGTTAATCTAAATTATACATATCAAGCTCTACTATGAGTAACTTCTATGTCGGCAATTACGAGGTCTGTCCGGAAAGTTCGTATAAAAGTGTTCTGGAATGCGAGAAAGAGGAGTGGGGAGGCCAGGTAAGCGCAGGACCCCTTCCTTATGTCCCTAACAATGCTTCAGTTCTGGTCTGACCGCCGTGCGGTGCGAACTGGCTTGTCACGCCATCTGTGAAATTACCTCTTAACGAAACCCCGTCGGCATGGAGCCCGCTTCCGTTGAAGAGCAGCGCGTCGTAATCAAGTTTCTCTCGAAACTCGGCAAGAATGGCCGTGAAAGCAAAGAGTGGAAGACATCCGGGGAACCACGAACAAAAAAATCAAGAAAATCCCGCTCAAATGTCAAGACAATGTTGATTGTTTTTTTCGATGTTCGGGGGATTGTCCATCAAGAATTCGTCCCTCCAGGCCAGACAGTTGATGGAAAATTCTACGTCGATGTGCTCAGACGCCTCAAAGCTCGTGTGGCACGAGTTCGTCCAGAATTGGCGCGAGAGGGGCGTTGGATTCTTCACCACGACAATGCCCCTGCCCACACCTCTCTTGTTGTCCGTGAGTTTTTGAGTAAAAATTCCATTACGGTGACCGAACACCCCCCTATTCGCCGGATTTGGCCCCGTGTGACTTCTTCTTGTTCCCAAAAACCAAATTGGTACTTCGGGGGCGGCATTTGGGGGACATAAATGAGATAAAAAAAGCTACGACGGGGCAGCTGAGAAACCTACAACCAGAGGACTTTCAAGGAGCCTTCTCACAGTGGAAACGGCGTTGGCACAAGTGTCACAGGGGGAGTACTTTGAAGGGGATAAAATTGATTTACCTGAATAATTGTAAAATAAAATTTTTAAAAAACTTTTATACGTACTTTCCGGACAAACCTCGTATAAATAGTGGTAGTAACAAAATGAGGACGATTTTTCAATACTAGATAAAACTTGTACATGAATAAAATGCAAAATGATGTTAATTTTCGCTTTAAGAGAGTGTCTATATAGTAAGTTTGATAGCATAAAGCAGAGAAATTGTGTACTTTTTTATAAATATTAAGTTAAAAAATGTGATTCTTTGTTTATTTAAGAGAAAAATACAATAAACACTTAAAACAAATTTTAAGAAATTATACAAACGTTTATATCATGTGTTTATATCATATCACATTTTCAGATTAACTTTTTAAATCCTGTTAGGAAAGATTTATAATGTTCTATCTTATAACAGACAAGTTTTATCTAGCTATTGAAAAACGTTTTTACTAGGAAAGCAAGTGAGTTTTGGTGTAAAAGGAGACATTCACCTCCAAGTCGGATTTTCTTGAGTTCAGCAAGCCTTCTGGCCATGGGGCTGGCGTAGACCCTACCTTCTGCGGCAGGGGCCGCCGGCGCCGGGGCGGGGCGGCCCGCAGCGGGCGCCTTAGGGGCCGGCGCGGGGGCCTTGGCGGCCGGCGCCGGCGCCTCAGCGGGGGCTGCTGGCTTCTCTGCTGCGAGAATATTTCAAGTTTATATACATACATATATAAGCCGCGTTTACACGGTGACATCTTACAGTCCCAAAATCTCGCCATCTGTGTGACTGTATAAGTAATAAATAATAAAGTGGGTTTTGTATAAGTAATAATATTGTACAATAATATTATTTCATAGTAGTATTATTATTTAGTGTCAATCTTTCATACAGTATATCATTCGATATACAAGCGAAGGATGCAAAAACACGAGCAAAAGTTCATTGCCGCTGCTAAAGTACCGCGTTAATTTGCGCGAAAAGTATTTATAGGAATGTACTATACATATAAAAATGTATTATAATTTTTCCTGCTAATAATAGTGTTGGCGGAAAGATATTGGCCCTGAAAAATTGTCACGTGTAAACATTGCCATTATGGGCAATCTCAAATGTAAATAAGCGTGTTTATATTTATATGAATTTCTAAAGTGACAATAATGATTTGTAATGAACTGTGAAGCATATAATTTAATGATACTATTTTAAATGTACTTTACATTAATATTACAGTATGAGTACTTAGGAGTTGTACACACATCCTAAACAACTATGATCTACCATTAAATATTATACTTAATACTTTAATCTTAAGACAATATTTAGTTTATTATATTTTGACCTTGTTGTGTCAATCAATATATACCATTGACCTTGTAAGGTCAATGTTATTTAGTGATGAATTGTAACTATTATTTTTTGGGTTCAGATGGTCTGAAGTTTTTGGGCATACATATTTACAATTATTTACATTCCAAAAGTATGTGAATTCAGCTGTAAAAATATAGGGCATTATAAAAATTATAAATTTGTCGACATGTGAGATCTTAGAATAAAGCAATTGTCTACAATAGGTATGAAGGATTAATATACAGATAATTAAAAGTAAAAATGAGATGTATAGCTAAAATACTATGGGAAAAATAACCTTTTTCTGCCGGTTTTGGTGCAGGATCAGGTGCTGTGAATTAAGTAAAAATGATGTTAGTGGATTCATGCAATTAAACAATTATTTATTTATACAAAAATTCATTCTTCATATCCAACTAGTAATTGAACCACACTTTATACTTAGGTAAATAACTTAAAAATCTAACAATATAGAAAACACATGCCTTTTAATATTTATAAATCACACATCACATTAAAATATTATTATCATTTCATTTATTTAATTAAATAAAACATTAACACAAATTCCAACATGGCTATGATGATGTTGTAGTATTAAATTAAATAATAACTAGCCTACTGTTGGAATTACTTACAATCATCTTTGAAGTCCTTAAATGCTGCAACATCTGCCTGATTTTCAACAATGATGCAGAGCAACTTGCCAACTGGCACTCCTTTAGTTCCAGCTGGGATTAATATTTTTGCTAAATACCCCTCCTCAGGAGTCTCAAATCCCATTGTTGCTTTGTCAGTTTCAATCTCACAAAGTAGATCACCTAAAATAAAATATATGTTTAGTTTTATGCTTATATCTAATAATATGTAATTATATAAAATATGAAACTGACTTTGGAATACAAGAATATGCCTATTTTAAATAATATATTTTATTTTTTAAATAAGTTAAATATTGAGAGTAACTTTTGTGAAACAGGAGTTTATAGACAATTCCAAACTGCAGAAATAATTTTGAAAGCCTTAACAATAATATAAAAAATTGTACCTTCATTAAGTTTATCACCCTCTTTCTTCTCCCAACTGACTATGGATCCATTTTCCATAGTAGGAGATAAAGCTGGGAGTTTTACTTTTATATGTGATGGTAAACTTGAATATTGTCTCAGCTGAGTGTTCCATTGTGGTGCCACAGATATTGTCTTGCATTGTGAACTTGATAATAATCTGCATCAAATTAATAAAATTATTAGATTACTACTATATACATTAGATTACTGTTAAAGAATTTGCAATTAGTAATATGCAAATTTATTAATCCTCCTATATATACAGAGCATATAAATTTGATTTATACATAGTATTTGGGATGGAGAAGGACATAGGATACTTTTTAGGTGCTATATTGGAAAAGTCGCAGACACAGCTGGAATAACATATGGTAGCTTATGGAGTTAGAAGGTAGTATAATTAGAAAAAAAATCATTATGGAAAATTATAGACAGGGGATAATATTGACCTACTGTTACCATGTTCAATTTTTGAACATGGTAACAGTAGGTCAATATTAACCTCTTATAGGAAGCTACTTGTACCTGGCAGTAGAATGTTAATGGGTCATTAAAATGATTCTGGTATCATCACATGTAGGATGCCGGCAACGACCTTCGTATCTAGAGATGACAGTTTCCAAGGTGAAAAGGGTTTTTGGTTATGCAATGAGAACCGCTTAAATTACATATTTGTGAATAAAGTACATAATAAAATTTATTACTTTATGCACTCACCCATTCAAAATTATATTATTACAAAGAAAATCCATGAGAACGACTAATATTTACTATATAAACAAACAAAAGTATTAGTTAATAAAGACTTACTTATTTGATTGTTTTCTCTTTGCCAATTCTGTGCTCATGCATCTTGTAACATTAGATCGAACGGCTTTCTTCAGGCCGGTGTTCAAAACTTGATTTCGTACAACGATTGATCGCAACATTTTTGATTTTTAATATAACTAAACCTAATCCGTCCAGGTTATTAGGACGGCTTTTTATCCGTAAGATCGACCTTTCGTAAATTTGTAGGTCATTGAATTCGTCAATGAAATGGTCTGTCAAAAGCAGGGAAATAAATTGCCAGGATAAAAAATGAACCGTTATTCAACGGGCCGATTCTGAAACGTCATTTCTCTAAACTATTTTAATGTAATTTTGACTTAAATCTATTACCAAATTAGTTCATAATTGTCTTTGTAGCAAAGATTTCAATTAAAAGAAAATTCAATTTTAGAGACACGTTTAGAATAATGGCACCTCAAACTAGATCCTGCTCTTTATTTATGTTGTTGTTAGGGACATTGACAAAAATATTATTTACTAAAACGTAATCTTTTAATTAGTATTTATTTCCTGACTTCTTACTTTTTATTAATATAAATTAAACACTGTGTGAAATATAATATAGCTACAACAGACAATTCTTATAGTTATAACTATAATGTAACTGGGGAAGAAAGATACAATATCACCACTATTTGCGACGCTCGACAAACTAGTTAGTTAAGTTAGTATAAGAACTTTTCAGTGCAGTACCTATATACTGTAATATTTATTAATTATACAAATTAAGACACAGCATAACATATATTTATTGTCACTGTGTTCAGTATTACCCAGGGAACGTGTCACATTAAACCTTTTCACGTTTATTAATTTTCAATTACAACAATTACGTTTCAAACTTAGATTCTAAAGTACATAAATTGGCAATACATGAAACAGAAAATATAATAACTTGTATGTTAAAGTAAGAGAAACAATAGGACAATAATTTGCACAATATGTTATACGGCCGTATGATATACCAAATTCAGATACAACCAGCTCGCATACTTTCTATATAATTTATGTCGAATATTTAATCTAATAATGTAAATAAACAAAAATTTTATAAACACACTAAGAACAAGAATTTACATTTTCTATACACTACCCTGCTATGAAGTGAGAAAAATAGCAACTAATGGTGTATCTTTCGTCTTCTTTTTACTAATTATATTTGCATAAGAAGAAAGTAAGCAATCATATGATTTACAGTTTTTATTATATCATTCCTTCTATTTAATTCCTTGTTTTTAGGACTTGAATTAATTTCAGTGTTAAGAACACTGAAATTGAAATTGTATTGAAATTGAATAACAATTTTGGCAACACTGAAGTGTCAAATGTCAAAACTGTCAAGTGTCATTAAACTGTCATCAATAAGATTTAGTTTTTTTATTATTTCGTCCTTTCTGTCAATTCGGCTTTTGGATTAAACAGGTTATTAAAAATGGTGAGGTTTAAATTGTTAAAAATCTTCGCAATCTTAAATTATGAACTGAAATAAAATATATCCCAGTTATATGTGTCACTTTTATAGAGTTTACTGATATTTATTTCATGCCACGATTAGATAAAAACTTATTAATGTTTTACTCTAGTGGAACCATGTAGTCAAACAATAACATTCTTTAATTCCAGGCCAAACGCACGAAAAAGGTCGGAATCACTGGCAAATATGGCACACGTTATGGTGCTTCATTGCGTAAAATGGTTAAAAAGATGGAAGTGACTCAACATGCTAAATACACTTGCTCTTTCTGTGGAAAGGTTAGTGAAATTGTTTTCTATAGTCTATTGTGTTCAGTTATGTTATGGACAAGGTGAGTAATTAGTTGAGAAATATGCTTATTTCCCATCTTCAAATATTATTACATTGAAATATTCAGATTAATTAAAAAGAAAAAAAAAATACAAATCAAAAGTGGACATTCATTTTGTAAGTTACATTGACCAAATGATCAATAATGATAATGATGAGAAAATTTTCATCATTATCAAAATAAATCCCTGTAATATAAAATAAAATATGAATTTTATACATGCCTGTATATTTGTGCACATATTTTTATGTTGTTTCATTACAGTAACTAAATAATACTTTCTGTAATAATGTATGACATGGCTACCAGTAATTAACATTATATACTTGAATTAATTGTTGGTGTCTCAAATAAATAAAAAAAAATATGAATATTATGTGATTTGTTAAGAATATGTAATTAATGTTTATAGAGTAGGAATTAATTATAATGCATATTTACAATTTTCTATTCAAGAACAGGAATTCAATCAATTTATTTTTTTAATAAATTTTGCTGATGTCATGCTACTTTTTTTTATTTAAATATTAGTTAATCACTTGGTTTATCAAAACAATCTTTGTCTTTTAACTAAGGAATTAAATAATTCTATCCCAACCAACCCAATTTAAGTACATGATATTGTTTATTTTAGAAATGAAATGGTTTGTTAGACTTGCTATAAATAAATTTTAAATAGATTTCCAAATAGGTATCAGTTTCTGCATTTTATTATTTATCAGACATGGTTCTGTCTAAACATTTTCAGGTTACATATTTACCAACAAACATAAAAAAAAAAATATGCAAATATTTATCATTTTATGCTCTTACGTCAGAGATTTATCTAGACTCTCAGTGAATTTGTTTAAAAGCCTTAACAATCTAAAGTACTGATAAAGATCAAATTGTAAGCAAATAAGCATGAATATAATTACAAAGTAGATTTTTCATACAAACTACTATGAACATGATTTACTGTGAAAAATTGAAAAAACATTATATTTATTAATAAAATTGTAACTGATGTGATGTCTGTACATGGGACATATAAAAAAAATTGTTGTGAGACATCTTAATAAGAGCAATAGAAGTTGAAAAATTTTTAGGAATCTTGTTTGTCTGTCCAGCTGTATATTGTACCAAATATTTTTGTCAAGTGATCAATAGAGAATAAAAAAAAAATAGTCTGGTATCACATAAAATCTACTGCACTAAATTAAATGCAATTTTCATAGTTGTTTTCCTAAAGATGTAACTTAAAAATTGATGCATGTTTTATCTTGATACACCATTTAGAAATGGTTTCTTTCATTGGTTCTCCTACTTTTGATATCCATGTCTATAAACCTAATAACCAGAAAGCTAGTAGTTAATACTTGGATAAATATTCATCTAGTTTTGTTCTGTGGAGAAAGTTGCTCAGTTCCACTTGTGTGGAAAGATTTTTACAAATTAAAAAGTAGTTAATAATATATAGTGAGTAAATAATTAAAAAAAAACCTTATTTAATATTTCAAGTGGTCATTAAAATAAATATAACTAAAGGTGTAAATTAATATTCTAGGATGCAATGAAGCGCTCATGTGTTGGCATCTGGTCATGCAAGCGCTGCAAAAGAACAGTAGCTGGTGGCGCTTGGGTGTTCTCCACAACAGCCGCGTCATCCTGCCGCTCAGCTGTGAGAAGGTTACGTGAAGTAAAGTAATTACCTCTCACACATTAGGATAAGATAATAAATTGTAAAAAAAAAATTTGTTTTATTTTTTATAATACTTAAAAAACAAGCCTGCATCATTTCTGCAATTGTGACATGTCTGGACATGTTATCTAATATAAAAATGTATTAACCAGGATCATAGTAAAATTTTTGGTGCTTTAGCCTCAATCTTAATTTGCAAAATACACTTAGCAACATAGACTATGTTGCCAAGTGTATTTAGTATTTATTGAATTTTCCTATAGATAAAGTTAAGATACAAGTATCAGATCAATCATTTTGTGATAAGTATCCACCTGCATATCTCCTATATACTCATAGTTGTGGGTTAAGAAAATAAAGATGTCACATTTATTACAGTAATATATTTATTCGAATATATGCTAGTCTGTTGATACTAGTGCATCACAATTTCATATAAAAATATAGTTATCTAAAATATTATTTAGCACCAATATATATATTTAGATATCTCTTATGTACTTAGTCATAGTATTACATTGAGCAAGAATATACAAAAAAAAAAATTATGAAAGATGACCAGTTTTATAACTAAATATTTTAAAATTAGCAACAGAACTAAACATGTAGTGGCAATAAAATACTTTGAGTTAGTACCTAAATACACAAAATATATTTGACTATGTCTTAAGTACTATAAACTATGCATGTAAATTGCATGAATCAAGTAATAATTTTATTATTCTCAATATTTCTATCAGTACATAATAAAGAAAACATGTACTGTATATAACAGCCATTAAGTAAAATATGAGACCATTAATATATCAAATTATACATAAAACCAAATGGCACTGGACATTCAATAATTCTTCTGTCTTTTGTTGTTATTACATTTTTATGGAATTTATGAAATAGTATAAATTAAGGATAGTACCTGCTACCTTAATCACAATATTAATGACAATGTCAAATTGAAACAGAAAAGTTTATATAATATTTTGGACAAAACTTTAATCGGCACTTCACTCATATCTTTGACTTGCACATATTAAGTTTTAATTAAAAGATATTGAGGACAGATACAACAAAATAATTTTATTATGTTTCAATAGTAATAACAGAATTATTTACTAGGTTTTCTTAACATAAAACTTTTATTAACATATAAATAACTTTCAGTCGCCTAGGTCACTATCTTTGTCCCCTATAACATCAAGTACAATGAAGGCAGCACCTAAAAATGCTGTACCAAGTAAGTCACCAAGTGCAGTTAAATAGGGTATTGCTGAATTGTCAGGATCCATTCCCAATTTCCACATCCATAACACCATATAGTGACTTATTGACAATAATAAGAATACTTGCAGCAAAGCTGCTGACATATATACCAATATAAATACAGGAGTTAAAGATGTGTGACCTGCCCTTAAGTAACCTATTGTATACAGAAATATTAGTTGGCCAGGTATGACCATTAATAATAACAATTTCGTTGTTTTGCCTAACACTGAATTTTCTTTTTGACCTGTGTGTAAGGATGTTGACAACCTGGAAGCATGAACTGCAACCATGTTGCCACCAATACCATTTATTACCAACTGGAATACAGCAACACCTTTGTATTTAGATACTGTATAGTCCAGAATTAAACCTCCAGCACTACTTATAACCATAGCAGACACTACAGGCACCCATCCTTCATCCAATGCCTGTTTAGTAAATTTGTTTTTCCATGCTATATAACCACACACTGGGACAAGACTTGCGCCAACAATTATAATAATAGATGGTAATATTACACTAGTGCCAATAGATGAATATAACAGTGAAGCTATCCAAGATAATAATGCCAAGGTTGTTAAATCTCCTAGACTAGCTGCTATTGGAGTTGCAATATTGTCTGGATTTATATACAACTTTCTTGAAATAACTATAACACCAATCATGATAAGACCAAGAACTAAACTAGCAAATGAAGCTGTAAGGACACTTGATGCACACAGTAACAAAGCATGGTGAATATCAAATTCTCCATAAGGAATCCAACCCATAGCAACTGCTGCCATTGCTGCTAAGAAACCCACAAGTATAGCTTGACATTGAATTAAACATAAATTGCCAATGATTAATGTTCCTAAACTTGTTTCAAGATGACCTAAGTGGGCATTGGTAGATAATCGTGATGCTAATGTCATTTCCAAATTACCCTTCAGCCCAAGAAGAGCTGGTACTAATATATATACTTCTGAAACTTGCTTGAAAACATCCCAGTGCTGCACCAAGTCTAGCAACAAACTGGCCGCCACCATACCAAAGCCGGCGAGTAAAAAGGACACAAACATTTGTACACCAGCTACCCATGAATTTTCTTTCGAATATTTAATGTCCGGCGGTTTATTTTCATTTGTGATAAGCCTGTAGCCGTCTGCATTCACGTTCTGTTCACTGTTGCACTCAGAAGTCCTCAGCATTTTAGAATTACTGTTCTTGCTTCTGTTCATAATTTTAAACAAGTATATCAATAAAATAACAATATATTAATAGAAAACTTATACAACTGCGGAGGATTTAAGTCAAAATTTCACGTACTCTGGCTTTTCTAATAAAAACTACGAGACAGTTCAACGTGATACTCTTATGACAATCAGATGAAAACTAGGCAACCACGTCGTATAGATATAAAATCAATCAAGTTGCTTGTATATTCACAGACTGATTAGGTATTGTAATATCATATTGAAACTAAATAAATTAACTAGTACGTATATTTGTTGAATTAAGTCAATTGTTGATGTTGATTGAAAATGTTGATGACAGTGACAAGACTTTTATTCTTGCCACTATAGATTATTGATAGATATTATATTATTTCTTAGAGGTTGATATTTCGGCATAGATAAGAATAATAGAAATATCTACGATCCCAAAAGACATTAATGCATGGCAATGTATACCATAAGTCAATACATATAATGAGACATCACTATTATGAAAAGAACCATAGGTACTTAAATCTTTGGTAGATACTAGTAATAAAAACATAGGCTTAGTTTAACGTACTCTAAATTCTTCATAATCTAAAAATTAAAACATGAATGCGTGAACAAGATGGGATTTTTTGTTTTACATTACAAACGCTTTTATATTGATGGACAAACTAATTATTTGAGTAATGTATATAGCAAGTGAGTAATAACTTGGATAAAACTGATTTGTATTATATGTAATAGTGTTGAATATGTAGTGAAACTTTTTCAATATATATTTTAAATACAATTTATGTGCGATACAATGACATATTTTTATCAGTCGGAAGCCATCTACAGGTAAATATAACAATTTATAAGTAAGACTTCCAGATGACAAATTATTTTATTATGGAAATAGAAAGCTATAAATTTTGATCATGAATTGGTGAAAATTGAGTTTTCCTATTCAATAATTTTGCATTACCTGTAACTAGCGAGTCATTAAAAACCGAAAATTACTATTATAATAATTACTTCTATCTATTGCTATTAGATCTTTAATGTAATTGTTATTAAAGATACACTTAACTCATTTGACGATTAGAAAACAATTGTGATTTATTACATTTGTGATTATAAATTGTTAAATAACAAAATTTCTTTAATAATCCTTTTTCATTAATATCGAATATTTTATGATATTTAATAACAAAATAATAAAATCACAAATCATAATAATAAATACCTATCCAGTGATATAATAATAAAAAAATTGTGAACTTAAGAACATGTCTTTCTGTTAATGAAAACTCTTGATTAATTTTAGATAAGTATGCATATAGGTAAGACATCATTTTTATTATTTTTAATGGACCGCTTTCTTTCTCTGTGTGGACCGCGTATACCGCGTGTGAAGTTTCTTTATATTTGACATAAATGGTTTGACGTAGCTAGATATGAGTTTTCAACATTTGACATTTGACGAATTGGCGATTGTCGAATCGAAATCGAACGAATATTGACGGTACCACAGTTCGACAAACTACCGACGGACTGAGCGATCCGATCGCTATCGCTATTTGTGCTTATGGTCTGTACCTGTATTTGTATATGTACACGTTTGAATCAAACTCAATCTAAATACTACAATATCTCTAAACCTTTCTATTACAATAATTAGACCATTGTAAAGTAAGTGTTTTAAAACAACGCAAATCTTTGTGCTGTTACAATTTTGTGCAGTAATATTTTGTGCAATATCTTTAGAGATCCGGAAACCTACTTACGGTGAATTGTGTACAGAATAATTATTTTTGTTTGTCAGTCACTATAGAAACTATAATAATTTATTTTTAACGACGCATTAGTTGACTATGGCAGTGATACGTGTTACAGTAAAAATATAATTTGTGGTTTTATGCGTTTGTTACTGTTGTTAAAAAAGTTGCATGTTGCAGGTCGTTGTCAACGACGACTATCGGCGTTCGTATTGACATGTGGCAGTGAAATATAGTAGTACTCTAGTTAAAAATGTTTCGAAGTAAGATAAGAATACACACATGCCGAATAATATTACTTACATCTCTGGTATGGCTACTGGTTGATGTTGCATTGCTGGCGATGTATTCGGACTGCTTTGGCGACGGATGCAATAAGAAAACGTCTAGTGAATATGTAGATAGGGTGAGCTTAATTAATGATTAATTATTTTATATAGAATTGAATTAGTTTCTAAATATCCACCAGGTGCATGTAAGTCTAGTTTTTATCTATTATATTATTATTTTGTATATTGCCTTGAGATATTATTCACTTTATTCAAGGTCTATAACATATATGAAATTTAATGAAAGTTATCTTTTTAAATTGATTTTATATAAGAATGATTAATACACAATTATAGCTTACTGGTCCCCTGGTTTCAAGATGTCTCTTTTCTCCTGAATCAAAAGTTGCAGATTTATTATTAACAAAAAAATAATAAATTTCCAATAAAGCTATTACACAATTGTTATAAGCTGTGCTAATTTATTTAAGTAATAAATAAATATTTGTTCATGAAAAGCACAACCACATGTGACTGTTTACTATTGCAATTTTAAGTATTTAGTGTAGTACCTTCTATATAGTGATAAACACAAGTTTATTTGTTTATAATCAATAACTTTAAACACTTTAACACTACAGTGTAAGTACTGTATATATTACACATAAAATGCATTTTTGTGTGTAGCAGTATTTATTAAGAGTAACAAGGAATAGTTTGATTTTTCAATTTAAACCATTTTTTTAGATTTGTATTTTATATTTATAAACAAAACACTAAGCTTTTTTTTTAATTTTCATGAATAAATATTGCTTCTTGCATATTAATTGGTCTTAATAATATTTATAGACTATTAAAATCTTAAAATATAACAAATAAGTCACTAAAATATTCTAATTGAGTAGTTCCATAGCATGAAATACAACATAAAATATATTACAATTTGGTTATGATTAGAAATTATATCACTACATAATTACTAGCAGTATTTACAAGTCTAAGCAGATAAAATAGTCTGAGTAGTAAATTGTGACAGTATTTTAACAGCATACATGCACCTCTGAAGTACTCAATTGCTACTGTACAAATAATCAATAGTAATAATACATATTTAAGAATATTAACTTTATATTGAAATTTATAATCTTATTTGTTTATGTATATTTTATTAATCAATAAAACATGGCACCTGAGATGAGTTTGGTGCTATTACAATTATTTACCAATCTTTAAAAAGTGCAGAGATAGTATGTACCTAGGTACATTACAAAACAACAGTATTTATTGATATTTTTTTCTTTTTTAACCTGTGCAACTTATACTTTTACTATTTAAAAGAAGTAATTTTTAAAGAGATATCTTCCCTGACATCAATTACCTTTATCTTACAGAAAAGTGCAGCCAAATAGTACTGTTTTAATAGCACTGTGTTTATTGTAACTTCACTTGTGCTCTCAGTATACATTGATAATATGTAAAAATGAAATCTGCCAGACTAAAGTAATGAATTCACCAGGAAGCAAGCATAATAGTTTTCGGGGGGGGGGGGGGGCGCATGGAGGTCAAACAGACCAGGAGAGTAGATTACTAGCAATGGGGCCATTAATCCCCATTATTAACAATCCTTACCCATTAGTAAAAGAATGTTTTTGTTACCCTTATGTTTTTTTGCAGTATGTCTAGTAGAATATTCCAAATTATATAGGAAATGGGATTTACTAATAAGCTATCAAAATTAAATTAAGAAAGTCAAATGAACTTTGCTACCATGTATGCATGTAACATTTTAGTATTAAGTTAATCTTTTGAACCAATGGTACACTAAAATATTTTATTGTGGTAAATAGAATCAATCTTTATGGGCTTATTATGTGAACATAATTTGTACTTGCATCCATGAACTGGGAAGGACAGCTCTTTGTATTAACTTGTATTCCATGTGCAGATGTTCCATAATCTGATTTTCATCATCCATATTAGATGTTTTCAAATACAATTTGCCACATTTAGTGGTTGGTTGGTTGGTTCATTGCACTGCTGATGAGCCATTTACATATGGTGTTAGCTAAAATTGTCTCTATATTAACAACAAAATTACATTTTAACACACATCTAAACTTTTCTAACAGAGTATAGGTGAGTATGGTGGTAAAAAAGCAGCTATTGCAGCAGCAATACAGCATCAAATAAATGATGATGACACAAATCTCGAAGAGAATGAAGTACAACAAGAAGTTGGGGATGATGGATTGGTATTGGCTCCATATTCAAAGTCCAGATTGGCTAGGTGGGTGCCTGTTCCTCCAGTTAGACCAAAATCTGAAGCCCCTGGAGAAATGGGTATGTTGTAATATTTATTTTTTTTAATCCCCATTAAAATACTTATTTAAATATGTAACAATAGATTTAGGTTTGCATATAATAAGGCTTAACATTGCTTGTGTTTATAATAAATTGTAAAAGCAAAAAGATATTCGTATTTCTATATCTCCAACATATGCAAGTTAAATTACTCCTTTAATTATTCTTTTTCTCAATAAAAAAGGAAAAAAGATTTAGTCAATTATAAAATTCCAAAAACTACTCAACTCACGAAGTTGAAATTTGGTCCGTAAATTTTTATGGTGTATTGACTATAGATCAGGGTTCTTGGATATAAACAATGTAATTATATACCTAATGTACAAAATAAAATAAGTACATAAAATTCTCCATTATGCCTGGATTCTATTACTGTACTTTCATAGAAACTATTATCTATAAATACACCAGACCAGACAGAGATCAATGCAAGTTATAATGCTATTACTAATAATAATAGATCATCCTGCTACAATGTAAATTCATGTCGATATAGAATACGAGCGGAATCGTGAACAGCCGTGTTATAAGAGTCTACATACTTTCAATTATTATCTAGGATTCTAGGCTACTTTCGATGGCATATTTACTTTTTTGAATGATGGGCAATTTATACGCTTGCGAGCTTCACAATGGTAGATCCTTATCAGAGACTAGGTTACTATTGTATCTAGTTGCTATTCTAGCTATTTTGTATAGATAAAGAAATAAAATAATAGTCATTTAAGTAGGTCTACTATTTTTAAGTGGTAAAATGTATACTTACTTAAGTTTCTAAGTATGCTAATAAAACTGGATCTTGTCCTTTTCTTCAGGGCTAAATTAATTATAGACATAATATGGTATACCTACCCTTCTCCTTACCTTCTTTTGATTGTTACGTCGTCGATACTTGCACAAAATTTGTTTTTGAATTATTTAGTGACTGTACAAACTTTGTGTAGTTTGATAGTAAATAACGGTGTAATATGTCTAGTAGTATTTTTTATGTGCTTGATTAATTCATTAAAGGTTTTAAGAGCATAAGTGACAAGGAACTTAATTAGTATAATTTTGTTCAAAACCATTACGAATACACGAAATGTAATACACAAGTCATATGACATTTATAAATCCAAATATAATATTCTTTTAAATTACGTCTATAGATTTTTTTTTAAAACGTTTGGTTTTCTAATGAACTTAAAATTACGCCTGTTCTGATTGCATTAAACAGTCAAATGATTAAATGTAATGGTCACAAGAAAATAAATGCATAGTCATGAAGAAAACTGGTAGATCTTTTTAGAAATCTCAAATTTTCAACTGTATAATAATTGTTTTAGGCAAAGCAGTAAACATACCAATTGAACAAGAGAAACTAATGTTGGACAAATTTCAAGAGAACCAGTTCAACTTGCTGGCCAGTGACATGATATCTCTCAATAGATCTCTCACTGATGTGAGATTTGAAAAGTAAGTGTAAACTGATATACTTAGTTATTTGTTGTCTTTTTTTTTGTAGCGGTGCTCGTATTTTGGCACGTGCTACACATAATCAAACGAAACCTTATGTCTATGTTTTAAAGTTTAATTTTAGTAAGGGCTTTATGAAGCACCGCGTAAGCATCGGCTACGTCGTGTCCATCTGTCAAGTTGCGTCGTATTTTGTTGTAATTATTTTATAAATAGCTTACAATAATAATACCTACTTCAAAATGGATATACATCACATATTATTATTTATAATACTGTATTGCATGCTATTCCAGCATAATAAAGTTTTAAAATACCTACTCTATTTTTAGCAAAGGGATTTATTGCCTTCTATGGGCATCACAGTGCATTTTGTGATATCCAGGGTAATGTTCTTGTATACATATGACGGTTACTATTTTCCGTTAGGTTGGCCGTCAGCATGTTTGCCATTTTAAGTATCCAAAAAACTTGCACAACAGCGTGGGCCGTAGGGAATAGATAAATACAGTTGTTTACACGCACAAACAAATATTATATTAATAGCATGTGTAATCAAGACATTTTGTTCATAGACAAAATATTTTTCTTTTATGTTTGAACAAATAAAGATGAAATACTTGAGAAGCCTGGGTCGTATTTCTATTATATTTTAATATATTTGAGGTACCTTAATAATGAAATCCTCTTAGTAACAGTTGAAGAGTAACGATACAGTCCATAAGCAAACTTTAATAAAACTAGCTTTTTCTTTTTACTTTATGTTAGCGTGACCGAGATATATTTACTATTCAGGATACAATGTGGTCTTATGTCCTTCTCCATCTCATATAGTACGTCTATACTAAATTTCAAAGTGGTTAGTTAAGCCATTACGACGCCGAGAAAGTAACAAACAAATAAACTCGCTTTCACATTTATTATATTAGTAAGGATACGCTTATATGGTATTAAATTAAGAGGTCGTGGGCATAACTAGTCTGCTAATATAAATTGTAGATTGGTAATTCTAGCTTGATTAACTAATTGGCCTTAGACTCCAAATGCATAATTGTGTAGGCGACATTGATATGCAATTGGCCGGTGCAGTAGTTAAAACAGTTTTGATAAGAAGATGTCATATTATTAATAAATTTTTCATTTTATACATTATATGCCAATCTATGTGACACGCAAAGTGCATAATGCATTAGAAAGTGCAATTATTATATTATTTCTAGATATTAGTTACACTATGCTTCGTAAGAAACAATTTTATTCAAATTATAGCATTTCATGGTCGCGCGTTCGTATTTGTGCACCATGTTATTACATTTTTATTGTGATCGAAGAGAGGAGTAGTCAAACATGAAATTATTAACATAACCTATTAATAGAGCTGCTAGTCGGCTTTAATGAGTATGACACAATTATTTTTTATTTAATGATACTCAATGAATGTATAAAATGTCGTGACTAAATTCTATTACTACGACTATTCTAAACTAAAAGTATCTTGCGTTACGAGGTGAAGGCTGTGATTGTAGTAGTATGTTTTTAGTATTTAATGAAAAGGACAAACAATGTAACGGTATACCGATGGAAATTTATAACTGTAGCCAAAGAATATAAACAACAACTAGAATGACATGGAATGTATCCGTACATACGACCCAAGTGTCTTTTTATGCGATAAATATGAAATGGTAATTCCGCCTGCACTATTGATATCCGATGGTGGGGTTGTGTCAGTGAGGGTTGATAACTGAGGATGAAGTCAGATCAGTTGGCCCATTGAACGAATTTATCAGGAACCCACGATATTTTCAAAATGGTACCGTGTAGAGGTCGACTTCATAGGGTGCATTGCTAGCAATAGTGCCATTCGACCCTATTACTGATAACCTCTTTCCCCCAACTCTAAATGTGTAGTCACGTCACTCATAAGACCTAAGAGTTTATGCCTCATATCAGAGATTCTCTATCTTTGCTCTATTTTATTGTTCAGACCTGTAAACGACAACGCATATATTACTGAAATAGGGCCTTACGGCATTAGGCATCTGCCTAATTTATTTTCTGTCTTATATCCATAATAATAGCTATCTTTTCTTTTGATGACGTAATTAGGAATGATTAAACCATATAAGCACACTAATATAGTGCTATCGCATTTTGTTCAAAAGCTTTTCAATCATTTTTAATATAACCTATAGGAAATTACAAGCCAAGTTAGTAACCGTGCATTTTTTATTAATTTTTATATGTACGTAATATCTGTTAATGTAAATCTTATTCGTTATAGTTTTATGCGGCATTAAACTCGCATGTTATTTGTACAAATTGTAGTGTGTAAAAAGAATAAAATAAATACATAATAAATTGTTATTTACTACAATCAATCGGTTGATATAAGCGTGGAAAATCGTTTACGATTCACGTGTTGCATTACTTTTATGTTGTAAAAATATATATATCGATAACGGGAAATTGGCGTACGTTATAATCGGAGCAATATTTCAGGTGTAAGGACAAACAGTATCCGGAACTATTACCAACGACCAGTGTGGTTATAGTGTTCCACAATGAGGCGTGGACGACGCTTATTCGTACTATATGGAGCACAATCAACCGTTCGCCGCGACCGTTGCTCAAAGAAATCATCTTAGTCGATGACGCAAGTGAAAAAGGTAAGTGTTTATTTATATACTTGTTTTAACCCGCGGCCACGTCTGCATGTGTCAGGATGTATTCATTGGTCGAGATAAAAAATTAACTAATTCCTTCTTCATCCCAAATATTATTTATTAAATATATAAATCTTCATGATGATTGCTTGAATCGTTAAGGTGCTAAGAGGTTAGTAATAAACAAGTAAACAAACTTACTTTCACATTTGTTAAAATCAACGTCGGTCGTGTTTATTTTAATAAGTACCATAAATGTATACATTATACTTGGAAAAGTTGTTTTCCCATTACATTTAAAAGACATTTACCAGAGGGAGACTTTGTACAAAAGTCAATTGCTTGGGTACCTCTGTCCCATTCGTGTTTCAACCATGAAGCAGTTGTGTTTGCATGGCTGTGTTTCGGTTTAAAGGGTGGGATATGGCGTGAAATTACTGGGTACATAGGAATAACACCTGAGTCCTCAGGAATGGCAACGCATGGGGGGTATCATGGGCGAAACAGTATACTCTGTTATGTCCATGGTATTGCTCATGTCTATCAGGTGGATTGTCAGCTTGTTTGCCATTCTAAGTTGTATAAAAAATAAACATTACATGGTCCCATTGTTGGGCATGGGGTGTCTTTTCATGAGCTCTGTTCAGAATTATTGCTCGATATTCTCCATATTGGACAACTATTTATTTACGACATTGATGAGACAGCATGGTATAGGTTTTTATATCGGGCTTTCCTATATTATTTTTGTGGTCAATGGTGATCTTTAATGCAATCGTTAACTATCCACTGCTGAACATAGCCTCCGTCATAAGGGGGTTTTCCCGTAGTTGCCACCCTTGGCAGGGGGATTAGCAACCGCAGTATAGCTTTTGGTGGTGTTTTAAGAGCGACGCTGCTGCCCATTCCTCCACCACAAGCTCCCATAGTCGTCTCTTTTGGGAAAGGATGGGGTGGCGTAATCTATGCCGGGATCTAAACGGCGGTAGTAACCTATTATGACCTTGGAAAGGAGTGTAGTCTGTTTCAAATGAACTTAATGATCAGGTGACTAAATTTTGTAGAAATTAACATAGAATCTAATAACTCTAATAAAATCCTCAGTAATATTATGAATGTGAAAGTGAGTTTATTGAATTGTTACCTTATAGCTTATTATTATTTAACCAATCACTCTGCAATTTGGTATATTCGTACTGTATGGGATAAAGAAGGATATAGGCTCCTTTTTATCCCGAGTAGTAAACTTATCCCGCTTACGAGGACGAAGTTGCGGGTAAAAGATTGAAAAATCGAAACGTTGGGCATCTGCAAACTGTCTTATGGTGGGGAGGGGGGAAGGATTGTTAGTAATGCGGACTACCAGTCCCGTTGCCAGCAATATACCCTGTCGGGTCGACCTCCCCGCGATCCCCCCTGGAAACCATCGTGCTGAGTTCCAAGTGTTTTCATCACAATGAGTTAACTGACCTGTCTTTTCATCTTCACCTATCATCACTAACTGGTGCCTCGCCAGTGTATACTGTTAGTGCGGGCGGTGTTGCCATTCTATTATCATCTACTAAAAAAACTATCTTATGGTTGGGTTAATTATTAGTTTACATATTCATAAGTTTTATTCTAATGACATATTCTTAGATCGTTATTAATTCATCACAGGGAGATGCATAGGTTTGTATTAGACATAGGAAATACACTGTATCAAACCTAAATAATGGGATAAAAAGTAATGTTGTATCATGAACATAATAATGTCGATTTTAAACTTTTACGTTTGTTTATCCATATTTAAATAAACTATTGGGACTTAACGTAAACGTAAACGTCGACACTAAAGAGACAGGTATGTAGGTACTATTTACCTTAAAAATTTTTCATCGCACTAAGTCCCGATAGTGTATTTAAGTAAAACAATGTCGGTCTAAATTGGAAATTTGTACTTTTATTTATTTATTTTGTGATACATTTTACACTTTGTACGTACAAGTTTATTTAAATAGTTTTTTTTTTAAGTTTTACAGTTTTTCATACTTTCTCATTACTTTGCATGATATTTGCCGAATTATTAAAATGGCAAATTCGTATCCAGTACAAAAACGAACAGTGCCCGTTCTATGTTGATCATGATCTGAATTAATAATTCATCAGAAAGCTACTCGTTGCGTGTCATACGGAGTGTGCTGTACTGTGCGTTTCCACAGTAGAGTGAACAAAATTGTTCTAAACGCGATAGATTAATTGACCATATTACTCAGTATAAATGATATAATGTAGGTCACATTGATATTTATATGAATTAATTAAAATTTGAATGACTGCATGTTTTTGAATATTTTTTTCTTCTATTTGCATTAATAGTGTTGTATGTAAAAAAAAAGTTTATTAAGTCAAAGGAAATTATAATGTGCTTGGCGAAATCTGGCCATGCCACGTTAGAGATTATAACCGTGAGCATATTTATTTAGTTATTATTTTTGTTGTACAATTTTTAACTAATCTATAAATCTATTTACATTTTTTGTTTTTAGACTAGCTTTTATTGATATCATAATTAACTGTACTTAGTAAAGATATAATGTTAATTAGTATGAAGCTAATTGGTTGTTACTTTTAGAACATCTTGGGAAGAAGTTGGAAGACTACATAAAGACCCTGCCAGTTTCCACCAGGCTATTCCGAACGGAAACTCGCTCTGGTCTTATCCGGGCACGATTGCTAGGTGCCAAGCACGTGAAAGGCGATGTTATTACGTTCCTTGACGCGCATTGTGAATGCACAGGTAAGGTTTTAATACACTTATTTATTACTTACTTATTATAATACTAGTTACCTGCCTAGGCTTTGCGCGGATTATTTAAAATAAAATATAGCCTGTATACTTGCCTATAATGTAGCTTTTCCATAGGTGAAAGAATTTTTAAAATCAAATCAAATTAAATATCAAATGTTTTCTTTTTGTATTATTAGTTAACATTATTTCTATTTGCTAGACTAATATTATTTTTATTTAAGTAAAAATCTATTGAGGGTTTTAGAATTTCCTAATAATATTTAACCAACTTCAAAACAGGAAGCGGGTCTTGGACTATATTTTTTGTGTATCTGTAATATTTTTGCCAATTATGAACTAATTTTGATTATTTATTTGTGACACTGAAAAAGTTATGAGTTCAACTTAGACCGAAAATGTCGTGTGTTCGAATTTAGCACATCCCAAACATTTTGTAAGGCAACTTAAATTTTCGATTAATTTTTCGGTGCGGAAAACACTGATAAATAACCAAATTAATCCGAAAGATGGCGGTAAACTCGACAACTGCCACTTATCTAAATATGTTCAGCAAAATCATTCACCACAACGGTAATTGTCGACAAATGCATCTGACCATCCCTTTAGGAATTATAGTCATGAGCATATTTTTTAATAGTATATATATATATATGTCGGAAGATGGCCATAGCTAAGCTCCGTTTCCTCCGACTCAGACATGGTTAACAAAAACTAATCTACCGTGGGCGTGTACTAATAATAATCAATAATTAGAGCAATTACAAAATCACACTTTATTTTTAAACTACAATCATTTTCATTAATGTAAGACATAAAAACTAATAAAATAATATCAAATAGAATAGAACTAAATTAAAATAATATTAGCTAAGACTCGAGACACAACGATCCGTTAAAGTCGCGCGATGTCCGACAGACGAATGTGGCCCCACTTCCTTTCATTATCGCTCCAACGTTTTGTCAGCGCTCCCCTCCATTTCTTGCGCTTGTGTCTCGAGTCAATAGAATGTCTTTTATTCTATTTTGCGCCGACACGGCCTTCCTGACACACGCACGTCCTCGGGCGTTATTAATCTGTAAACAGAAGTATGTGATTATTATGCCCTACTAAAATGGCATTACTAAGAGACTGCGTGAAGCAAAATCTTAGTATCAATAATTGACTATTAGCTATATACTCAACAAAATCTTTGTAACCAAATAACATCAACCACAACTGGAATCATGTTACTGCTCCGTTACCGCTCCGCTCCACCGTCTGGGGACCAACACCCATATAGAGTGTGGCAGGCCAGAGGTTTGCAGCCAGTTAACGCGAACAGATAACACTACCACCACGACATAGCTCCAACAATAGGTGACGTCATATTACTGTACCGTTACAGCTCCGCACGACCATCCGGGGACCAGCACCCATATAGAGTGTGGCAGGCCAGAGGTTTGCAGCCAGTAAACGGGAACAGCTAACGCTGTACTATTACTGCATACCTTTCCCAATAACGTTTCTCTTTAACGTCCCTTGACGTGTCCGGCTAGCCCAAGGAACTACCGTAACATCATCATTCTCTAAATTGTGTACATCTGTTCTTGTTATAACTCTACTTTCAACACCACCACAGTCATCACTATGGTCTCTATCTAATTCCAACTCCACAATATTATTTTGCTGTACGCAACCCCTGTCCTCATCTATGTATCTACTATCAGATTGCTCTGCAATATCATCCGCCGACACGGTTCCTGTTTTGTTATATATTTCGTCGCACATTATCTTAACTACTTCTGTCAATCCTGCTCTGCCTTTGGGTACTTCACGTAAACTTTCATGAGGATATTTGTATGTACGGTTTGAGCCATCAATATTTTGTAATTCGTAACGGTCATTTTCTAACACCTTAACAACCTTATAAGGACCTTTGAATTTACTATCTAATTTAGTTTGGTTTCGCTCGCAACATTTAAGGAACACAAAATCACCTTCAGCAAAAGGTACTACTTGCGCCTTTGTTTTATTAAAACGTTCTGTGTCCGACACTGCTAATCTTTTTATATTATCTACTGCATTTTGCCTCATATCTACTAAATTCGATCTGTTAACCTCACTAACATTTTCATTACTTATTCTAGAAATTCCCAAAGTCTGTTGGTTAATGCCAAACATTAACTCCATTGGAGTATAACCAGTTACTCTACAGCGAGTTGTATTTAGTACTAGTTGAATTTCTCCTAACTCATCTCTCCAGACACTATCTGTGCTATTTTCTATAACTGTCAAAAGGTTTTTAAGAGTTTGCATGACTCTCTCAACTTGACCATTAGCCCTACATGCTCCAGTAGCGATAAGGTGTAACTCTATATTATTATCATGACAAAATGTTTTAAACTCGTTACTTATAAAGCAACGGCCCTGATCAGCTATAATACGTTTAGGGGAACCAAATAATTGTACCGCATAATATAAGGTATCTCTGGCGCTATTAGCATCCAGACACAAAGTATGTTTTAGAAGAATATATTTTGTGAAAGAGTCAATAATGACAAAAACATATTCTTTTCTTTGGCTTTTTCCACTTAGTTTTCCACTGATATCAATATGCAATGTGTGCCAGGGCACACAACCCTTTGGTATTGCATGCAATTGGATTTGTTGCGCACCAGAAGAACTTTTACAAGTTTTGCATACGAGGCAAGCGTCGATAAATTTTTTTACAGCTTTAGCCATGCCAGGAAACCAATATAATTGATAAAGTTTATCAAGGGTTTTATCATAACCTAAATGTTTTAGTTCTAAATGAACGTGACTAATTAACGACGAGGCTAATGACAAGGGTACAACGGGTAACCAACAATCGCGCTTGTTACGTTGAATTTTTCTATAGAGGAGACCTTTTCTAACATCATAAGACTGAGAAATGTCATTGGGAAGATCGCCAGCTCTCCATTTTGCTATAGTATCTATAATATTACTATCGCGTTGTTGTTCTACTGCTAACCAACCTTTTTGCATATCTAATACGTAAATCTGTTTCGATTTTAACGGTAATTTTGTTGAACTATTATCTTTATCTGACAACGGATTTCTTGACAAAAAATCAGCATGAGACATCCGGCGACCTTCACGATATTCAATAACAAAATCATAACTTTGTAAAATAGCCCACCACCTATGCACACGCGGCGTGAGATCACGTTTGTTACTAGACGATTTCAATGCGTTACAGTCTGTACGAACTGTGAAACGTCGCCCGTATAAATAGTGACGAAAATGCTCTACTGCACGGACTACAGCTAACGTCTCAAGTTCATACGAGTGATAACGAGATTCGATGTCCGTTGTACGGCGGCTAAAGTATTCGACGACGTGGGGGGCTTTATCAATACGCTGTATTAGAATCGCTCCATAGCCTTGAGAACTAGCATCTGTATGGAGTTCAGTTTCCCTATCGGGGTCAAATATTGCGAGTACTGGTGCCGATGTCAAAACTTTTACCACACGTTGGTGAACTGCGTCATGTTCTGAGGTCCAATTAATTTCGCCTTTATGTTGGACAAGAGGATAGAGGGGACCCATAGTGACTGAGAAATTTGGTATAAATTGCCTAAAATAAGATGCTAAACCAATAAATTGCCGAACCTGAGATACAGTACGTGGAGCGGGTATATTAACAAGTGCGTGAACTTTATTGGGATTGGGTCTTATTTCCCCAGATTTAATGACATAACCTAGGTATGTAATTTCTGTCTTCAGAAAACTACATTTTTTCATATTGAGGGAAAATCCAGCTTTGCTAAGTGCATTTAAGACAAAATTTAAGCGCTCAAGGCCCTGTTCAATAGATGTAGATGGTATTAAGACATCATCGATATAGACTTGAGCATAATCACAGTCTTTAAGAGCTTTATTAATAGATCTTTGAAAAACTGATGGTGCATTTTTGAGACCAAACGGCATGGCAGTATATTCAAACTGGCCGTCGGGTGTAACAAAAGCAGTTCGCTCTATAGACGATGGCTCTAAAGGGATACAGTGAAATCCTGAAGTCATGTCAAGTGACGTGAAATATTTAGCTCCATGAAGTCAATCAATTTGGTCACTTATGCGCGGAAGGGGGTAATTATCGGACCGTGTGTTAGAGTTAAGCTCCCTATAATCAACTACCATTCGATCGCTACCATCCTTTTTTTAACTAGCAATATAGGGCTCGCAAAAGGTGAAGAACTTTCACGGATTACACCTGCATTCAAAAGCTCAGATACTTTATCGCTTACAATTTGTCTCTCAGAGGCTGATAACCGATACGGATGCCTTTGGACAATTTTGTTAGGATCAATTAGATCAATATGCATAACACCAGTATTTACACGCCTAGTTGGCGTTCCTTCAATAAATGAATCGGAATATTTATTAAGAAGAATGAGTAATGATTCTTTGTCATCATCTACTAAATCTGTATTTAGTTGTTGGCCAACAGAACTAAATTTCTCACAAAATTTATTATGTTTTACTCTAAATAAAGAAACACCATTATCGTTAATTTCTATTCGAAAGCCCTTTTCAATAATATCTCGTCCTAGCAGTATTGGTTCTACTAGAAATGTGTCATTTACAACGTAAAATATTATCTCAACTGACAAGCCTTGAATGATAGCAGTACAAAGTAATTGTTCGGTACATTTTATATCCGCATTACCGATGCCAATAAGTATCACAGTTTCGTGAATTCGTGTTCCCTCAATATGCCGAGCGAAACTTTCCTTGATTAGAGAACATTCTGAACCCGAGTCAAATAGAAAATGATAACACATGCCTCTAATTTCAAGCTCACCAGTTACCGTACGCTTATTACAAAGTTTGACCTCCTTCTTGGAAACTTCATTGTTCTTTGTGGCTGAGCAGGCAGTGGCGACATGCCCAAGCTTGCCACATGCGTAGCAGGTGACAGGGCGCCTCTCATCGCGAGGTGTAGGTAGTTTCTGCATCTGCGAATTATTACCGCCATTGCGCGGACAATTGAAAATTTTGTGACTTATTTCACCGCAACGATGACAGTTGCCATAAAAAGAAGTTGCTGTGTGAGTGACATTAAAACGAGGACGTTTATTATCATAATTAAAATTAACTTCTTCTCCACGCCCTTTTAAGGAAACATTTCGCAAGATACGAAATAATTGTGGCTTATTTGTTATATTGTGCGAGCATAATTCACGTCTTATATTATGGTCTATATGAGAAAGTACAGATACGACAAACCCCGTTATTGTCTCATCCGATAAATTAGCCTTTGGTATGGATTCAATTAATTGCCATAGACGTAAGGCAGCATCTGCCACCGTTTCCTTATTGGTCATTTGAAACTTTATAATACGATCAAAATAATCTTGCATTAACATAGGTTTAGAAAATTTTGCAAGCAACAAGTCCTTAATATTTTCCCAAGTAATAGAATCTGTTTTCAGTTTTGTTAAACATGCTGCTGCACGACCACGAAGCGCGTGAGTTAAAGCTAATAGCAAATCGGTACCTTTTAAATCCTTGTGTTTAATTATAACCTCGTTAATACTGCACCATCCTTCAATGTCTGAATCAGGGTCATCAGGGTCAAACCTGACGAGATTTGTAGTTGAATGCGGTTGCAATCCACTGGAAACACTTCTTAATACCCGCATAAATACTTCAATGTCGCTCGTGTCGGTAGATCTACATCGTTGTGTCTCGTTTATTCTCCCGGTTTCCTCGTTATCCGGTCCTTCACATCCCACTTCTGATGTCGGAAGATGGCCATAGCTAAGCTCCGTTTCCTCCGACTCAGACATGGTTAACAAAAACTAATCTACCGTGGGCGTGTACTAATAATAATCAATAATTAGAGCAATTACAAAATCACACTTTATTTTTAAACTACAATCATTTTCATTAATGTAAGACATAAAAACTAATAAAATAATATCAAATAGAATAGAACTAAATTAAAATAATATTAGCTAAGACTCGAGACACAACGATCCGTTAAAGTCGCGCGATGTCCGACAGACGAATGTGGCCCCACTTCCTTTCATTATCGCTCCAACGTTTTGTCAGCGCTCCCCTCCATTTCTTGCGCTTGTGTCTCGAGTCAATAGAATGTCTTTTATTCTATTTTGCGCCGACATATATATATATATATATATATATATATATATATATATATATATATATATATATATATATATATATATATATATATATATATATGTATATATATATATATACAGTTCTTACACTATTTTTTATAACAGTATAAATTATATTCGTTTATTAAACATCAAGTATGGTTTTTTTCCAAAGATAAAAATAACTTATTCTACGTAAATTAAAAAATATTTTCTTATACTATAAATGAACGTAGCATTCATAATTTACGTCAGAAAATATTATTGCCGAGTCAATTTAATACTTATTGCACCGATTCCGTACGACTGTGCAATATTTGTGTCTGCAATGAACGCAATTTGCATCTAACTAGTAATCAAAGCTGGTGTGAGCGTATCTCAAACAGTGCATGATTAAACGAAGGTTCCGCTCAGTAAACCTGTTCGATTTGTTACACATAGCATGTTCTTAAATTGAAGAAAGTGCGAATGCGTAGAGTAATTTTTTTTTATGAATGATAATGAAATGGTAACCCCGCTTGCGGTAATATATGCTAGCGGGGCACCAGTGAAGGATGATAGGTGAGAATGGAAAGGCAGGTCAGTTAACCCATCGTGATGAATACACCTGGAATTAAGCACGTAATTTAGGACTCATAGTCGACCTCCACGTGGTCCAGGTGGACCTGACCTTATTTTTTAATTTCGGAGTTTATTGCTAGTAATGGGACTGGTAGTCTGTATTAATAACAATTCCCCCCCCCCCACCCCCCTACGTAGAGTAATTGGTAAAAGTACATCCCAACTGTTTAGCGCCTCGCTCTTGGTATTTTGTGTTCGGTTGTCTCGCGCGCAATACTTAATGTGGGTCAAGGGTCACTACTGTCACTGGTGTTTAATAAGATAACTATACTTGTGTATGATTTATCTTGCTTTCCGTAAGATTGACCTTGAACTGTGTAAAGACATGTCTATATAAATGCATTATTTTCTGGCCGCGTCTTCGTCCGCGTGACCGGAATGTTTTCATTGATTAGAATAGAAAGTAACTTATGTCCTTCTTTATTCCATATAATACGTGTAAAGCAAATGTCATAGTAATTGATTAAGACGCTATTAGGTAACAAACACACTTTCACATAGAATATAAAAAATACTATGCTAGTTTATAAAATTTTGTCCCAAAAAAAAAAAACTAATTTCAATCGTGTTAAAAGGAGTTATTTTGATTTAAAAATTAAACTGCTAAACCTTTTTGAATTTTTTTTTTATAAGACCGATCTGAAAGTATATCAAAAATAAAATATATAAATAAAGGTAACAAACATAAAAAAAATACAACCGAACTAAGAACATCCTCCTTTTTTGAAGCTGGTTGAAGAGTTGTAACATGCGATCTTCGTTATTTCATCATATAATTAGTTTTATTCCCAGAATTAACATTGTATTTTATTAAGGCTTAATAAAATATAAAAACAAATTATAAAATATACTAAAATATACCAAATTAATTTAAATGTATTGCATTACGTTATTTCTTTTGTTTCTATATTACTTTTTATTTAACATTTACACGGAAGATGTTATTTGCTGCCCTATTTCTCCTTCTTTGGGGTTGTTTTAACTTTTCTCAAGTGTCTCCAAATATCATCTTACCAATTTTTATATAAAAAAATGGTTAACACTAACCAAATAGGTTAATTTTACATTAAATTATCGATTATTATTATAGTTTTTTTATTAAAATTTGAATCTATCGAAATATCAAAACGTTTTGGCTTTGTAATTATCATTTGGGCTCAAATGAGTCAATGATGTAAATTTAGTTCTTTTAATTAACGGTGTACTCAGGGTAAGGACGCGTAACACCTTAAGCCTCAAAAACGATAACGCATGAGGGGTAACATGAGCGTTGTAACTATGTCATGGTGCTGTTCCTGTCTATAGGCGACTGTTAAATCACTTGTTTGCTATTATTTAATTCATAAAGAATAGAAACGTTTGTAAGTCGATTATTTTGTTTACCGCAGCGCCAACAGTCCACAGTTATGAGTTCTCCATCTGGGATAACAATTGTGAATATAATTGTATCTATTTAAATGTCAAGATGGTTTTAAGTTCATTGACTTATCAGATGTTGGATCGTATATTGCCCTGCCCTAGATTTTCGCAGGTGTTAAAAAGTCTGAACAAGTCTGATGTAGACATTCAATGTTTATTTTAGTGTAATAACTACCGATTTAACTTACACGCGCTGTCAGGTTTACGCTCGCGTCAAAATCGCTCATGATTAAAGTCCCGGATGGTCCCGAAACTAGTCGACATTTTTCGACTAATATACACGTAAGTTAATCCGGTAATTTAATTTGATTTATTTAAATATAATGTTTACTTACCGATTTTTTTAACAATTCAATGTTTACATTAATGTAAAATTTTTAAACGTACAAAGTGTTCCAAATTTAAATATAAACTAAGAATCATGCACACATCTGAAAGATGAATAATATTTTATTATTTTACTTATTACTTACTTTATTACAATAATATTACTAAACTATTTTTACTTAGTTGTTAAATGTAATTGAATAACAAACATCTAAAGAGCTTTACAAACTTTTATGTTTCAAACAGATAGTCGGGCTATTCCATTCGCTGGTTTTCACATCTTTCGTATCATTACAAAATGGAATCTTTTTGCCCACATACTTCCTACAATCTCGCTTACACAAATAGCAAACGAATCTATCGATAGAATCATTTCGGTTAACGTTCATATGAGACAGCACAAAACTCAGGACATCACCATTTCATTGTAGTAGTATATATTATATGTAGGACCCGTTAACGATAACGATTCTATCCATAGATTCGTTTGCTATTTGTTTTAAGATTAGGTAACAATCGCTAGCTCAGTGTTTATTGTTGATACGGCGATTTTAACATTTGGACTGCACTACCACTTGTTAGTCAGCGATCAACAGGTAGTGGTGTGGTCACAATTTGGACAGATGTTAAAGAAAATAGGATTTATTTTACCAGAGGGAGACTTTGTACAAAAGTCGATTGCTTGGGTACCTCTGTCCCATTCGTGTTTCAACTGTAAATCAGTTGTATTTGCATGGCTGTGTTTCGGTTTGAAGGGTGGGATATGGCGTGAATTTACTGGGTACGGAGGAATAACACTTGAGTCCTCAGGAATAGCAACGCATGGGGGATATCATGGGCGAAACGGTATACTCTGTTATGTCCATGGTACTGTTCATGTCTATAGGCGACGGTTACCACTTTCCATTAAGTGGGCCGTCAGCTTGTTTGCCATTCTAAGTTGTATAAAAAAATATACAGATTATATAAATCCTACTTGTAGCCTACCTCTAAGCCTTTATACTATATACATGTGATTGTATATAGTATAAGATCTTAGAGGGAAGAGAGACATCATTTAATAACGGGGAATAGCGGCCCTGTTACTAATTTGTAATTTTAAAAATAAGTTTGGGGAAAAGTACTTTAGAACCGACCCCACTGTATATCGACTTCACTGATAACGCAGGCGGAATTACCATTCTATTATTGTCTATAAAAATATAACCACATGAAATCTATGTTTATCTATCGACACTATTACGTATTATATAACTAACAATTTTTCAGAGGGATGGCTGGAGCCGCTGTTGGCTCGGATCGTGGAGGACAGAACGACAGTAGTATGTCCGATCATTGACGTTATATCTGACACTACGTTTGAGTACATACAAGCATCTGATATGACATGGGGTGGTTTCAACTGGAAACTCAACTTTAGATGGTGAGTATTTAGAATAATTGCATCCATATCCATTGCATAGTAATAAAGAATTATGTAAGCGGATAGATACGGTTTCTTATTTTATTTATCTACTATTTAAATAGATTACTATTACTTTTTATTGTTTCCTTCAAAAGATTTCAGCAGTAAATTTAACACAAGAAAAAATCAATTTAGTTATAATACTTAATTGTCCCCCGGAAAAAAGATTAGGTACAGTAATTTTGCAGAGGATGTAAAAATGGTAATCTTATCGCTAATCGCTTTCTTCGTATTATAAAAGACAGATATAAAAGAAATAAATATTATCACTTTGTAATATACCTACATATATTTTACGTACATATAGGTAATCTTAAAGCATAAATTTGTATGTAGTGTTACAAGAGTGTAGTTCTTTCAATACAATTAATCGAGTTTGTTTTGTTTGCACACCGCATATTGTACCGATAGTGGACTCGAATACTTGTAGACTAAACTTATAACGAGAATACGATAAGACGGCAGGTTATCGTTGATCTGTGAAAGTACCTAGCTGGAGGCAAATGCTAATTATTGTTAATTTCTCTCTAACTTTTATATATAAATGTATAATAAGGTATAATATAATAATAATAATATAGGGCGTTATATTTTGTTTATAACCAAACAGTGATTTAAATAGATACTAAAATTACATATATTTTCCTTATTATTTTATATATATTTTTTGTTCTAAATTATTTGCAATAGAGAATAGAGGCTACGTTTCGATTTAGAGTTACTATATAAAACTTATGTCGAATAAAAGTTTAACCAATTGAAAAAAAAAATTAGGCATATTACAGATGATATTTTAGTAAAATTAATGGATATCAGTTAAATCTTTATGTAAAACAACCGTGCTGTACATAATCATAGTGTAATGATTAATTTATATGCACAAATGTCATGACTATAAGATGCATGTGATCATACAAAATACCATGTCCACTGTTCAGAAGACGGTTGCCACTTTCGATTAAATGTTTGAGCTGTCATCGACACTATGTTTTACTCATTGTTCAGGCAATGGTTAATACTTTCTCTCTTGGTAGAGCTAACACCGTCAGCTTGTTCACGTATTGTTGATTACCATTTTCTTTATATATATATTATGAAATAAATTCATTGATTTACCAGGTATCGAGTACCAGAACGTGAGATGTCGCGGCGCGGTGGCGACCGCACTGCCCCGCTACGGACTCCCACTATGGCGGGTGGTTTGTTCGCCATCGATCGTGACTACTTCTACAAAATCGGCTCCTACGACGAGGGTATGGACATCTGGGGAGGAGAGAACCTCGAAATGAGTTTCAGGGTATAGCATTTTTGAGTTTAATTTTTATAGCTTAAGAGGCCCCTATGTATGAAAATCTTTGTCGTCGTTTCTTACAAGGTTATTTTGAGTTCTCGATAGTCTGGGTAACTATTAATTTGTGTTAGTAATAATGTAGGCAAATCTTATTTTTTTTTGTATGTGCATATTTCCTCTAAGCAATATCTCTTATATATAGGTATAACTGTTGATACTCATGTCAAGTTCAAAGCAATGTTTTTTACTGTATGTACACAGTTAGCACTAAAATTTTATTCTGTATGTATTCTGTTCATATTTCAAACGTCGGTTTCAGGCTTTATTACATCACTGCTCGAATTCCAGTAAAATTATGGGGAAAGAAAAGTTTTTATTATTAGTGACCGTAAATAAAAAAAAAAAATAGTGTATGTAAAATTACTAATACTCAATTCATTAACAAACCCTGTTATAGCGACTATTATGTAACCTATCAAAAAAATATTTCTCATGTCTATCAGAACAATCTCTGAATTTTTTTCAAAATGTGCCATTTACCCCATTGTAGTCAAATATCCCAATAGAAACGTTTTAATTTCGATCATATTACATATATTTGCAAAATTTAAAATATATTAAATCCTGCCAGTTTCAATATCGACGAAACTGCATTCGATATGATCAATTATTCATTTGTTCCTAGAATAGTCTAGCTTTGAACCAGTTGTACAAATATTGAGATGTATTTCAGTAATATAATCTCGTAACAATTTGTGCAGGTGCAACATGAATAAACGATATGTCTTATTCCACTTAGTGTGCTCATTGTTGGGTTTTTGTTACTTGTTATTTATCATATTGTTATAATACACATTTTGTTTGAATATAGAATGGAAAATGAAATGCATTACTGAGTATTGAATACCTATTATGATTTACTTAAAGTATAAAATTTAAAATTTTCTCACTAATATTATTGTCCATCCAAAATAGATTTTTGGAAACTTTCGCAGTAAGAACAGTTAATACCGGGTAAAGGGTAAATACTCGAGATTTCCTTTTCCTCAAAAAGAATATTAATAGACGTTAGATCGTTGAAGTTTCATTTGTAAGAGATTTTTGGGGTCATTAAATAAAATATGGAGTCGTATATATAATAGTTATGTTTGCAAGCAATTTAAAGTTAGGTTCTGCAGATAAATTCTGAATAAAATTGAATAGAACATATGAATGAAAACATAAATAAACCATTAATTAAACACGATTGTTTCCGAGGAAGGCTTAATAGAAGTTGTCCTGACAGGTTTTGTTCTTAGCCATCAATGTGTTAACACTTTTTTGTCTACATATAGTTATGTAACTGTATCATATTTTGAGGGGACCAATAAAGAGTTTTCATACATACATTCATTGTTGTAAGAGACGACTAGATCAGAAAACCATAAGACATCAATGTAATAGCAGCAACTCGAAATAAAACCTAATTTTGATTAGGTTTTGTCCGCCTGGTCAGGATAATAATAGTTTTGTTTCAGTATAATTGATGAAAATTGTAATCCTGTCGCCATTATTGGTCTACGCTGACGATAGGTGAGGATAAAGTCAGGTTAGGTAGCGAATTCACCAGGAATTCACCACGATGGTTTTCAGCTGTGTGGAGGTCAATTTCACAGAGTAAATTGCTAGCAATGGGGCTGCTAGTGCTCATTGCCAGCAATCCCTTCTTAAATATGTTGGGTGGACGAAGGTGTGGCAGTGCGGCGGTCGCCTGGAGATTATCCCGTGCTCGCATGTGGGCCACGTGTTCCGGGACAAATCTCCGTACTCGTTCCCTGGCGGCGTACAGAACATCGTACTCCACAACGCTGCCAGGGTCGCCGAAGTCTGGATGGACGAGTGGGGCGAGTTCTATTATGCCATGAACCCAGGTTCGACGCTGACCTATAAGGGCCTTGTAGCTAACGTTTTGCCGAGTCAATACCATAAATATTGCAATAATTTTGCATAGATTTCTGTTTACATTATTTTTTTTATTTACACTACATGTAACAGAAAGTGAATAATGACAGGATTTAAAGTGCTTAAATCAAAAACTACTCTTACTTTTTTTTTTATAGCTAAATTTACATTTGATAAATATATATATATATAAAAAAGAATAACTGTTTATAATCAAAAGCAGTTTATAACGTTGTTTATTAATTTATTATTTCTTCCTTGAAGACGATCACTTCCTACATTCTCATCTATTATCGGAAGTGTCGATCAGCGAGCGTTAACATTCTAAATCTTTCGAGTTCGGCAAAATGTCAGCGGTCAAGGTGAAATACAAAGTTTTGTTGTGGCTTGGGAATTTTAACAACTAACGCCGTTATTTGTGGAAGTTGTCATTTTAACATTTAAACCGTTCGTGAGCTTTCGTAACATCGTAAGCAATTGCAGCTGCATATATTTAATTACATTGCATGCTTATATCATATCATTCATTTCGCTTCATTTCATTTTTTTCTCTATATGTATTTTCTTGTCTTTATTCGATTTATTCTTTTTTTTATTTTATTATGAACACTTTCTTATTTTTTAATTATAATTAATACTTTATATTCCTTTGCTATTTCATATGATTGTTTATTCGTTTTATTCTTGTGCTTCTTCTAAATGCAGAAGCAATGATATTATTGGGGTTATTTTATAGAAAGGATTACATAATAAATTGTTTATTGACCACAGCAACTCTTTACGAGTCATAGCGATGATGGCCAATACATGAATATATATATATATATATAATATAAATATATATATATAAAGTGTACATTTAATGAATTACTATTAGAAATGTAAAAAATAATTTGATTATAAGTAAATTATAAAAGTATTTACATTATGTAAATATTGTCGTGATTTATTAGATAATGTTTTATTTTCAACCTTTGTCATCAGTCACTATGACTCTGTCTAAATATCATGGCTTAATAGAATTTTCTATTCCGTGACGTTATTATTTATTATTATAATCATATATGGGTCATTTTATTATTGCAGATAATAATAACTTTTGTGTATATGTTTTTTTTTTAATTAATAATTAGCAACTTAAAAATATTTTATAATAATAATATATTTAAAAGTATATATAATTTAACATGAATTAACTTGTATGGTGATAAGTGTTGTAATTATGTGTGCTTTCTAACCGAGGTGCAATAATGAAACTAGATCGTTAGTTTCATTTTTGTTTCTATAACCAACCATATTCATCAGGGACTTATAAATTCATATTACTTCTATAATAATAATTCATTATTCAAATGTATGTTTAATTATGATTACTAATTAACTTATTAAATTTCCTAAGTATTTCTATATATTTAATGTGATAGAATATATATTCCATAACTTTTTATTTATAATGCCAGTATTCGAAATTTATCTAAAAAAAAAAAACAAAGATTAGCAATGAGATGTTATTAGGCAGGGTGGTACTCCGTGAGTGATGGTAGGTCAGTTTAAAGCTAAGTCAATTAGTACACGACATTGGGAACTGGGATATCGGTGATTATTAGTCCCTTTCCTCGGACTTGATAGAATATATCACCAGTAATCAGTCTGCTAGGTCGGTTACTAACCCCACCCCCTCTCTAAGCCCAATTGGCATATACCACCGGTGAATATGGTTGCGTGGGTTGTGTCGCGGGTTGCGCGGGTGCGCGGGCGTGGGTGACATGTGCCGCTGGGTAGGTGTGGATGTGCGGCGGGCGGCTGGAGATCGCGCCGTGCTCGCACGTGGGCCACGTGTTCCGCAAGACCACCCCGTACACGTTCCCGGGCGGCACGGGCCGCGTCGTCAACCACAACAACGCGCGCCTCGCCGAGGTCTGGCTGGACGACTGGAAGCATTTCTACTACAATATTAATCCAGGTGTTTGTCGTTAGCGGGGTGTTCTGGTGTTGTTCTGACAATTGCATTTTTTTGTTTGTTCCTTACTAGCTTTTACTCGTGACTTTCACAGTCGGAACAAATTACGTAATATTTTGCGATTGCGATATATTGCGATTTATATAATCGCATTATACAATATGCAATAGTTTTTGAATAAGTTTTTAAATAAAATCAATCTAACAGAATAACATCAGAATAGTAATTGGGTAGTAACTGAAACATACGGTTTACAGCGATAAAAAAAAATCACATTTCCACTAATTTTGAAAAGTATTCGATTATAATAATGTGAGTTTATAAAATGTTTAAATCGTAATTTTTCAGTGAAGTTATATGTGGTACTTATTTTAATTAACTCTTTTTAATATTAATAAACATAAGTATCTAAAAGCATGTACATTTTACATTACTTACATAACAATAACAATATTAATCCCGTCATTAACATGTCGTGCATAGTCATTTGTATACATTTTATGCGTACATACAGAACCATGCTTCATACTAACATACAGTAGTTTTAGATTTCAAGTGTGGTAATTTAGATGCTCAATTATGGAATTATATTTTTTATATAACTGTATAAAATGTATAAATATAACTAAATGTTTGGATTTACTTCTATTTGACAACTAAAGATATTTTACAATACAGAAATAATAACTAAATTTATAAAAGTGTTTGTAATAGAACTTAATTGAAATTTAATCAAGTTTCATTCTAAAATCAAAAATGAAATTGAAAAAATCGAAACAATCGATAATTTGATATTTTATTTGTATTGCTATTATCAGCATTCTGTCTTATTGTGGGGTCAATTGATCATTTGTTTAATATTTTCATTAAGTTCTATTTAAAACAAACTATACATTTGTACATTTCAAATATACCTATGTTTGGACATATTTGTACGTAAATTGTGCGTACAGGTGCGCTCAATGTGCCAGTCGGAGACGTTAGTGAGAGGAAGGCTCTGCGCGAGCGACTCAAGTGCAAGAGCTTCCGTTGGTATCTGGAGAACATATACCCAGAGAGTCAGATGCCGCTTGACTATTACTATTTAGGAGAGGTATGTTGTGTGTATATTTAAAACTAACTGTTTGCTAGTTATTTTGTACGCATAGTTTCAGAAGTAGAAAAACCAATGAAGTAGAACACTTCTTGTTGGCGTATCAAAACTAAACATATATTATATATGAAGTTTTTGTTTTTATGGATGATAATGGAATGGTAGCCCTGCTTGCGCTAACGATATACGCTGTCGGGACACCAATGAGAAATAATAGAATGAAAATGCATCGTGATTAGCCCATCGTGATAAATATACCTGGAATTCAGCATGATGGTTTCCAGCGGGGACTACGTGGAGAACGACCTGACAGGGTATATTGCTAGCAATGGGGCAGACAGTCCGCATTACTAACAATCCCTTTACCCTCATATTTTAAGTTAGATCTTCAGAAACACAACTGAAAATTGTATTCAATTTGATATTTCTTTTTTATATTTTGATTACAGATATTGCCAGTTAAAATTTTATTATATCATTAAGAGTATTATCCAACGTATTATTATCAGAGGGGGGAGCCTTTGTACAAAAGTTATTTGCTGGGGCACCTATGTTCCATTCATGTTTCTACTGTGAGGTAGTTGTGTTTGCATGGCTGTGTTTCGGTTTGAAGAGTGGGATATGGCAGTAAATTTACAGGGTATAGTGGAATAACACCTGAGTCCTCAGGAATGGTAACGCACGGGGGGTATCATGGGCGAAACAGTATACTTTGTTATTTCCATGGTATTGTTCATGTCTATAGGCGACTGTTATCACTTTCCATCAGGCGAACCGTCAGCTTTTTAGCCATTGTAAGTTGCATAAAAAAATTTGGCAGGTGGTGAACCTGTCCCGGTTACTGGTTACATAATTGGTAGGTTTATTTCTAAAGAGATCTTTACCTGTCATCCAAGTTACAAAGTATATGAGTTAGTTTGTAATTAGAGAACGACGCAATAAGTTAAATACTTATTTTTGTTTTGTAAAAAATTAAATATCGAATTTAATATTATATAATTAATTTCTAGATCCGCAATGCGGAGACTTCAAATTGTTTGGACACACTGGGCGGTAAGGCCGGCCAACCGCTCGGCATGGGATACTGCCATGGAATGGGCGGCAACCAGGTTTGTGAATATAGTATATTTTTTCAATAAATGATAATGAAATGGTAATCCTATCTACGTTAACGGTATACGCTGGCTGACACCAGTGAGGGATGATAGGTGAGAATGAAAAGGCAGGTCAGTTAGCCCATCGTGGTGAATACACCTGGGATTCAGTATGATGGTTTCCAGGGAAGACTACGTGGAAGTCGATCTGACAATGTATATTGCTAGCAATGGAACTGGTAGTTCGCATTACTAACAATCCCTCCTTACCTACATAGTATGTTTATAAATATAGTCTGTTCTGAGATAAGACCCCAAATGCTGCCTGTTCCCATGCCTTATAACGTAGGGTATCTTAGCTTGAGTTAACCATTTTTCCTTTAATTTTGAGCATGAATTATCACCTTGATTTATTTCACCAATAAAAGAAATCATGCAAAGAAGGGTTAAATCACAATTTTAGAAATGTCATGTATGTAGGGAAATATATGGAAATATTTTTTGTTTAATCTTTTTTTCATGAATGCTATATTTATTAAATTATTGTTTTATGCCATTTTTTGTAATTGATCATTTAAGAACAATATATCTAGTCAAAAAAATATATTAGACATTAATATCATGCATTATCAATTAATAGAAAAAAAAAAAACGTTATTTTCAGCTATTTGTTCATGAACTGTTATTTAGATAAATTATAACAACAACATTGTTTATTAAATATGCCAAGTCTTAACAACAGATTATATTTCTGAAAAACAGATTATATTTCTATTATTGTTGTTCTTTTTCTATTGTTGTTGCCCTGTGATGTAGTCTTGGTTTACATCAAGGGGCGCAAATATCATAAACATATCTATCTATCCTATTTAAGAGCTCTGCTCTTGTCGGTGGAGCTCTTGCCACTCACTACGATTTTCAGCGAGTCGCTTTACCTCTTGATACGACATGACACCAACTCCTTCCTTGATCTACCTGATGTATCTATGCTTCGGTCTCCCTCCCCCCCTTCCTTCCTTCTATCTTACCTTCTATTATAATGTTCATAAGTTCGTCGTGTCCCAACATTTTTCCTCTTCTGTCCTCAATAGTTCTAATAATTTGTCTCTTTTCCTTAACCCTAAGCAAAACCTCCTCATTGCTAATTGGATTTCCAGAGCTAATTTTCTCCATTTTTCTCCAGCACCACATTTCAAAGGCTCATAAACATAATGCATATAATTTTGAAATATTTATTTATTTATTAAATACAAGAAATTTACAATGCGAGTATATTGGACCTCGCACTAGGTGAACCTGTATCGCGGGAACCCATAGACCAAGACTCGGTGATTTACAAATATAGTGAGCCAGTTTTACGGAAACAACAAGTTAGAATGACATCGAATATGACTATAATATGAATATGTATAGAATAAATATTTGTAAAAATATTGGAATATATTATATTGGAATTCCCAAAGAGACTTGATGTCAGGCGGCCGATCGTAAAACTATAAGCCAAATCTTTTTGTAATATAGATAAAAAACATATTACGCCGACCCCAAATATTAATTGGGATAAAGGTAGGAAGATGATGTTGGTTGGAATATTTGTTACACAATCATGCATAAATGGCCGTATAGATTGGATTAAATATTGGTATTCAGATGTAGTGTATATTGCATTAACATAGGTGCTTTTATCTTGTTTTACGCAGAAAAAGCCGCCAGTTATAAATAGTTATAAGAAAAACAATATACATATATCAATTACACCTATATACATAATGAAATACTTTTGTCTTGTATGCACATTATTTGCCAAAAATCAAAATTGATGTATTATGTATTGTTCACTGTAGTTATTGTATTCACTAATGTACAGTATTGTGTTACAGGTGTTTGCTTACACGAAACGCAAGCAAGTGATGTCTGACGACAACTGCTTGGATGCAGCGCACCCGCGCGGCCCCATCAAACTGATCCGGTGCCACGGAATGAGGGGCAATCAGGAGTGGACATATGACTCCAAGGTGATATAAACTGGCCATAGAGTCTATTTTTAACATAAAACAAGTGAATAACTTGCAGAAAACTTGAAGGAGTGCAAAAATTTCCGCGGAATAAGCCTTCTTAGTGTTGTAGGCAAATTGTATGCTAGGATTTTGATTAAAAGAGTGATGAATGAGACGGAAAGTAAAATTTGGGATGTGCAAGCAGGGTTTCGAAAGGGTATGGGATGTACGGATCAAGTCTTTTCCTTAAGGTGCATAACAGAGAAAACCTTAGCTCAACATCAGAAGGTTTTCTGCGCCTTCATTGACCTTGAAAAGGCTTATGATAGAGTGGAGAGGAATGAACTGTGGTCAACACTGGCAATGTATGGGGTGAGCAGCCATTTGATACGGGCATTCAAATCTTTATATAAGGATTCAAATGCCTGTGTCAGAATAAATGGAGTCTATACAGACTGGTTTGGCATTGAACGCGGTGTTAGACAGGGCTGTGTAGCGTCTCCTTGGCTGTTCAACCTATTTATGGACAGTTGCTTGACCGATTTGAAAGGATCTAATTGTGGATTCAGGATGAATGAGTCTCTGTTTAAGACTCTTTTATACGCCGACGACCAAGTACTTTTTGCATCGTCGGAGTATGAATTACAACAAATGGTGACTATAATGAATGAAGCGTATGCAAGAAAAGGTATGAAAATAAATGCGAAGAAGACGAAGGTAATGGTTTTTGAGAGGAATGAAAGTTTAACGGCATGCCAGATTATGATAGGAGATGAAAAAATGGAGCAAGTGAGTGAGTTTCTATATTTAGGTTCTTTGTTTACGAGGGATGGGAAGTGTGAAAGAGATATTGAGAGGAGAGTAAAAGCGGGAAACAGTGTTAACGGTGCACTGCTCTCGATTATGTCAAGTAAAAATGTATCGAGCAAAGCTCGCCTTGCTATAATTCAAGGAGTACTGACACCAACACTCATGTATGGAAGCGAATCGTGGGTATGGCAGAAGAAGCATGAAAGTAAGATAAATGCTGTACAGATGAGAGCTTTGAGAAGTATGTGTGGTATTACTTTAAAAGATAGAGTAAGAAACAGTGTGATTAGAGAGAAGTGTGGACTGAAAGACGATGTAGTGACAAAAATCGAAAAAGGAATGTTGCGTTGGTTTGGTCATTTGGAGAGGATGGATGAAAGAAGAATTACGAAAGAGATTTATCGAGCAAGAATGAATGGAGATGTCGGTAGGGGCCGCCCTAGACGGACGTATGTCGACCAAATAGGCGACGTGCTGAAGAAGGGCCAAATTAAAAGTACCCGTAACCGACGAGCGTGTATGACAAGATTGATGAATGTGGAAGAAGCGAAAGAGGTTTGTTTGAATCGAAGCATTTGGCGTTCCATTGTTTCTGCCTACCCTAATGGGAGACAGGCGTGACAAATATGTATGTATGTATGTAAAACTTGAACAAGTTTCTAACTCACCGATCTTCTTATCTATATTACATAGATAAATAAGTGTTATTTCACTAGTTGGAGAATTTAAATTAAAACCAACTATTTTTCGTTATATTGTATATGAAGTAAACTCAGAAATGCAATTTTATATATTTTTGTCGTTAACCGTCGATTACTTTTAAGCGATGAACCGCATGCAAATAAATTTGCCGAAATATTTTAATTTGCTTGCTCTGGACTTAAATTTACATATAAAAAATAAGTGTAACCTGTATGTAACGTAAATGGAAATCACATCCAAACACTTTGTATCAACATGTACATGCCATGATATCATCATGACTCATTAACTCAAACTGACTACCAATATCATGTAGACAACGCCTCGTTAATAGTGTGACACGAGCAAATAATGTTTAATGTTTAAACATCAATAGCATATTCACTTAACAATAAAGTTTATAATTATGTTTATAATAAAATCACACATGTGACAAACTCATAGACAATACATATAAGTCTACGTAAATAAATATGTGGTGTTCATGTCACACGTCCACACAAAAGGAAAGGTTGACAACAATAGAAAGATCAACGAGATTGTTGTAGTGGGAAAAATAAACAGACACATTTGTTTTTAACTGACTGCAAAAAGGAGGTTTTCAATTCGTTTGTATTTTTTTTTGTGTCTACGTTATGACTTGACCTATAAGATAGTCTGCTTAAGTCTATATAGTTTATAATTATATATGATATGTCTATTATGATAAAAAGAACCAATGAAACAATGAACATCTGGTATTATGAATCTTATAACAAATGTCTTATAATACAATTCAGAATATCAAGAGCCGAGCTAATTTTAAAAGCTTCCTAAATTGACTTGGCTAGGAATCCAATCCGCGATTTCATTTACGCAAAGTAATGTAGTCTGTGTGGTCCCGACATAGAATAGGTCATCCCATTCTTTCCAGTTAGTGTCTTAAGAGGCGACTAAGGGAAGGCGAGAGATAAGCAGCAGCCTCCCTCTTGAACATCTCCAAAGCTTAACTGCGGCTGCCAAATCGTTTGCCAAGCGTGACAACTACTGGCAAACCCTTCTAGAGGAGGCTTATGTTCAGCAGTGGACAGTTAAAAGCTGATATAATGATGATGAAAGTAACGTGTCCGGCATTGCACCACGAAAGTCTTTTTTTTTTTCAATTGGTGAAAATGGTATGGTAACCCCGCCTGTGCTAACGGGATACGCTGGCGGAGTACCAGTGAAGGGTGATAGATGAGAATGAAAACAGGCCAGTTAGCCCACCATGATGAATTCATCAGGAATTAACCATGATAGTTTCCAGGGAGAGCCGCGAGGAGGTCGACCTGGTTGGGTATATTGCTAGCAATGGGATTCTCAGTCTCTATTACTAACAATCCCTTTTCCCCCGCACCACGAAGGTCGTAATGGTGTAGTTTCATACGTGCCGCGGTTTGCAGACGCGTACGATAAAGCACACGAACACCGGCATGTGCCTGGACAAGCCGGAGTCTACGGACGTGTGGAAGCCGGTGCTGCGCGCGTGCAACCGGTCGCGCGGGCAGCAGTGGCTCATGCAGGTCGACTTCAAGTGGCAGGCGCGCCGCGCCGCCCGCGACCCGCCCAGCTAGTCGCCGCCGCCGCCGCGCGCGCCACGGTACATATTGCATACAGTAGCTTTATTAGATTTTTTTTATACAACTTAAAATGACCAACTTAACCAGTTAACGATTGCATTAAAGCTCACCATTGACCACAAAAATACTCAATATAGGAAAGCCCGATATAATAACCTATACCATGCTGTCTCATCAGTGTCGTAAATAAATAGTTGTCCAATATGGAGAATATCGAGCAACAATTCTGAACAGAACTCATGAAAAGACACCCCATGCCCAACAATGGGACCATGTAATGTTTTTTTTTATACAACTTAGAATGGCAAACAAGTTGATGGCCCACCTGATGGGAAGTGGTAACCGTCGCCTATAGACATGAGCAGTACATGGACATAACAGAGTATACTGCTTCGCCCATGATACCCCCCATGCGCTGCCATTCCTGAGGATTCAGGTGTTATTCCTCTGTACCCTGTAAATTCCCGCCATATTCCACCCTTCAAACTGAAACACAGCTGTGCAAACACAACTGCTTTACAGTTAAAACACAAATGGGACAGAGGTACCCAAGCAAACGACTTTTGTACAAAGTCTCCCTCTGGTATGAAATGAGATGACAATGAAATGGTTACCTCGTCTGCGCCATCGGTATACACTGATAGGGCACCAGTGAAGGGTGACAGGTGAGGATGAAGCAGGTCTGTTAGCCCATCATGACGAATTCAATAAGAATTGTTCACGATGATTTCCAGGGGGAACCACGTGGAGGTTGACCTAACAGGTCATATTGCTAGCAATAGGGCTGTCAAACTCCATTGCTAACAATCCCTTTCCCTCCTATTGTAAACAGTAATCACCCCTCCCTACAACACGGTACTCTTATAATGCGTTGTCATATACGCGATTACAATCCCTCGTATTATTGGTGGAGAAGGGATTGTTAGTAATGCAGACCACCAGTTCCATTGCTAGCAATATACCCTTGTAGGTCGACCTCCACGTGGTCCCTCCTCGAAACCATTGTGCTGAATTCCAGGTATATTTATCACGATGAGCTAACTGACCTGTCTTTTCATCCTCACCTATCATCCCTCACTGGTGCCCCACCAGCGTATACCGTTAGCGCAGGCGGGCTTATTATTTCATTATCATTCACTAAAAAAATGGGGCTCTCAAACTCCATTGCTAACAATCCCTTTCCCCCCAATAATGATTGGTTAGACCGTTAGTACGCTATAAGCAACATATAAACTAACTTTTACATTAATAATATTACTAAGGATTTTTGTTTTTAAAACATGGGCAAATTGTAATTGTTTAAGATTGGTGCTCTCTAATGTCGAGACTTTCTATTCGTTACACACAAAGACCTCTGTCTATAAGGAATGCAAATGCTTTATCAAAGATATTGGCCATCAGACAATAGATGCCTACACATACATCCAAAGCATGAAGTAAGTAATGCTTAGTGAAGCTCTACCGTGGGTGTAAGAGGCGGCTAAGGCAACTTAATGGTAGAGGGATGGGCAACATTGTTTTAAACATCATCAAAGCCTAACTACGTTTGCCTACCAAGTGTGACAACTACTGGCAAACCACCCCCCCCCCCCCCAATATGGTGTAGGTTGTTTAGCAGTGGACAGTTAATGGCTGATGTGATGATGATATTATAATTTGATCTTTGGACTGTTATCACGTGTTATTCTACTAAGTTATCACTCTGTTACTATAAATTTAATAATTACTACACCCTAGAAAGAGCGTTCATATATAATAAATAAGTATCTAATACCAAACAAACAAAATAAAAATAAAGAATATTTTCAACAACATTACAGAGTGCCATCTAGTCTCAAATTAAGCTTTCCATTTTTAATTTATTGTTTAAATATTAAAATATGATGTTTGTGATGAAACTTGTTATTTTCTTTTTCAGGATTGACAACGATAGACCATAAAAGTCTTCCCCTCTCGTTATATATCAGATTTATTCCTTATTCTTGTGTATATCTGAAATTTTATATCTATTAGAATTGTATCGAGACACGAAATCATGTGAATTGTTGACAATACAAAATATGCTAAGTTGTATTCCCTGTAAACATTGCTCAAACTAGTATTGTGTTGAGTAGAGTGAGTTTAATTGCTATTCATTAGGTGTATGGAGTTGAAAGATTATATTGAATTATTTTTAATTGCTAAAAGTTACAGGTATTGAGTTGTGGTTGTTTATTGAACATTATTGTTTGTATAGAATTATAATTTTTATTTATTTCCTTTCTGTAAAATATTGCTATTCGATATACTTTTATATGAAATTAATATCTTAAATCTTTCCTCACACAAATAGAATATATATATAGAAAAAAGAGTTTTTAATCTTTTATAGATACTCAGAATAGGTGTTAAGTTGGCCTGGTGACGTTGTTTGGTGTTTGACTGCAATTGTTAAATATAGTTTTCTTCTTCTAATACTTCGCTCACTACATTTTAAGATACACATTATACACAAACATCAATATACACGTATTCCAGAAACGCCAACGCGGAATGTAAAGACTCCTTGCATTTTATGTGAAGTTCATGGTGCTAATCTTTGCCACTAGGCTTAAATACATTTATATTTTATTTTAATGGTAACAATTTATCAATCGGTTAGTATAGCTAGAGGCACATGTGCCATGAACATTTGCCAAACCGTCTTGCATATACTTAGCTTAGGATATTTATAACACGACCCACAAAATTGTATGCGATGTAAAATTATTTTTCAATTTACAACTTTTATTTATTTGACTCTGTAGGTCGTGTCAAAAATCCTAAGTTTGATTTTTAGTCAATAAATAGATTCGTAAGACAATTTATTACATTTCAAAGACTTTCCAATTATTCTTCTTTTCTGTCTAATGTGAGAGCAGTTTACACTGCGTTTATAATTTTATATATAGCAGCTATTATTATAAATAACTCACATCTACTACTATTTCACTGCCATGAATATACTGGAGTTTATTTACAATTTTTTTCTTTTTCAGTTATAACTGAAAAGTTGTAGTTGAACGTCGATTATTTGATTAACTTTTTTTTTATACTTCACATAGTACTCTTATTTGCTGCGTTTTCATTTTGCACAGAGTGTTTGCATACACTTGGTAGGAATTTCAAGTGTGAGATTATTATAGCTAAGGGACTTTCATGTTTTATATTGTTATTGTTAAATCTACAATGATTTAGAGAGAGTATCTCAATAGAGTTCTGTCACAAGCTTAGATAATTAGAAATTGAATTCTGTAGATGTAACAATAATTTATATTTCCATTAAATAATATAACTGTTGCCTTAATTATTTTTATGAGATTTCGAAATGATAGGAATAAATGATAAAATTTTAGTGTATATGCTCTATATAGGAAGGGGCTTGGTGGAATTGCCTTTATAATTTGTTCTAATAGAGTTTCTACGATAGTTGGTACATCAGGCCCGTAACAACGAAGTATATATTTCTTAGTATAAAGTATTGTTCCTTTTATATTTTAATAAAAATATAATAGCAAGGCGCTCGATGGTGACTCAAACGAGGGCCGGGTTTAGTCCTCTCGATGCCGAATTATTTATGTAAAAATACATTTTAAATAATAGTAATTTGGTTTTAATTCGCTTAAAACAATTTGATATATTGATGAATAAATTACAATCATATCACTAAATAATGTAAAGTTGATTATAGGATGTATTGGCATATTGTTTTAATTTGTTTATGGTATACATCACAGAGTAGTTGTGTAATAAAAAAGTTTATGAGATACAAGGTCTGTTTATCTATGAAGATATTTTGTAAAATCTTTTATGTGTTGTAAAACAAGTCCGAGTTTTTATTGTGGTTAGCAAAGTTGACGCCATATTTTGTAGCGTCCACAGACCTCGGTAAAATGTAGTTATTTAGACAAAAGTGTAATTATTGTAAATAAGCTATTACAATTATATAATATCGTTCAATTGATAACAGTATTGTGTATCTAGTGTCCGATGTTAACATCGAGAATGCATTTATAAAACACTGGAATCTCACTTCGTACTTTGATGAACTTACCAGTCGGCAGTGCCAAAAGTCGCAATTTTATTTAATATGACATTCACCATTCCAATAAACTAAATTATGATGCGAGTTGAAAATAAATATTGTTTGGACTGAATTTTGTTTTATTAAATATTTTGACCCGTCCCGACTTCGCAGATAGGTGAATCTCGAGTTTCTTTGAAAATAAAATACAGCCTATGTGGCTCCTTATTTATATAACTTTCTATAGATGGAAGAATTTTATAAACAGTTAAGCAATACATTGTTTGAGGTAAAATAATTTTCCAAATCCGTTTAAAATTGACGGTGTTATGAGGTAACAAATATAAAAAAATACGACGGAATTGAGAACCTCTTTTTTTGAAGTCGGTTGAAAAATACAATTTATAATATTAGTTTATACCTAGTACATTATATTAAGTCTGTGGTTTAGATTTAATGCAAAAAGGTTACAAGAAATATGAAAGGTTCCGCGTGAAACGAGGGACCCTCAACTTGAGGGTATCATATCGTTTTTGTAACATGTTCAAACACTGTTAGGCGTAAAAGTCTATGTAGGTTATGGAGTTTTACTACTTAAGCACAGATAATAACCAATAGGATAATTAAATTCTATAACAAAAGAAGAATTAAAGTGGTCGATATAGTGCGAAGGATCTGCTAGCTGAAGTGACAATTGGCCAGCAATAATAATGAGGAAGGAAGGTTCTCGACTCATGTACCTGTGCAAGCAAGCCTAGTGAGGAGCGAGCCTGGACAAGATAGAGTGTGACAATCTCAAAATTGATGGATATGCATGTTTAACAAGGATAATGAACGATGAAAATCATCGCAAGCGTTTGCACGGTCGTAGTTATTTTATGATTTTTCAAGGCTCTAGCGTCTAGCCACTTCTTGTTTGACAATCAGACGTAGTATCATTAATCAGAAGGTAGTAAAAATCAATGTAAGATTGTTTGTAATTTTATGCTTATTTGATTCGTTTATGTTAACCCTTAAAAGCTTAATTTTTAAATAAAATTAAAAAATATACAAGTATACCCTTTACTGTGTTTACTAATGGGGAAAAATAGTAAAAAAAAAACGATATTTTTATATATTTATTTAAAAAAAAAACATTTGGTAACATGTAAACAGTCAAATATTAAAATAAAATCGATTGTAGACGCCCAATGCGATTTATAACCCCGGTATCAAATTTGAAACTTCAGGTATTTAAGGGTTAAACGAACTATGTGTCGGTCGACAGATGTCAGTAGGAAAAAAATCAGTGTTGCATAGATTGTACTTCCGTAATATTTATATCTATTATAATAGTACTCACCGTGCGTACGGTTCAATAAGAACAATTGAATTGCGCATGCGGATAGAGGCTCGGCTTGGCTTGCGTGTGGGGAAGCGTGCGCAGCCAATGATTTGTCATGTGCACAATACGTATGATAATGAAAATAGCATAGACTTAGTATAACGTACTATGTTAATCTAAGGAACGTAGAAATAATAGGAAAATGTAGACACGATATAATACATAAAAGCAGATGGATGCAGTTTAGTGTCATGAACATTAATGATTCGAAAACCATCTCCGAGTATCCAGCATAGTGATGACTGAGAATAAAAAAAAAGTCTTAGTTATTTCCATTATAGTTACAACTTTAATAAGGCCGCACATATTTAAGTCGTAACGTACGTTTAGAAGTCTAATCGGTATGAGCAATGGTATATATGAGGGGTGCCATGGGCATAACCGTATATTGTTCAGTATGTTTATGGTGCTGTTTTTTTATGCAGTTTAGAATGGCAAACAAGCCGACGGTCAACCTAATGGAAAGAGGTAACCGTTACCTATAGATGTAAACAGTACCATGGGTATAATATACTTTGTCGCCCATAAAAGCCTTAATGCGTGGCTGTTCATGTTACCACTATTCATTAGTTGAGTTTAAATGAAAACTCTTTGTGCAATAAAAAATGCCTATCGTCAATAAATACAACCCAAAGATTATTATTATGAAAGAAATATCGCCAGGGGAAAGTAGCATATTTTTTATATTTATCTTTTCTAGACACATAATGGTAGGGACAGTTGGAAAAAAATTCCACTCTTACCACCAAGAGGGAAAGTTGGCAGAGACAAGTGAAACTGGCCTATTTTTTTAGACAAGATCTGTATATACTGTGTTATTTTTAATGTAATTTTTAGGATAAAAATAGAAAAAAGTAATATGAATCATCATTTTATTTATTAAACTTAACATTTTATACTTAACTATCTTACATTTATACATTATGAAACAAATGCATATGCGCAAAACTATTTACGCCAATTGATATTATTATATTATTTATAATAATACCTTGGTATATTAATAGATATCTTGCTTCAAATTCATATTTTGCGCGCACATTAATAAGCACTAAAACGTGCTCTTATAACAAATACTACAAATTCACTACAATGAAAAAACCAAATACATAAATCATTGTGGTGGGATTATAAAAATATTAAGAAATATTGCTGTATAGTTTGACCGTAAGCGCTATACAGAGTTGAACGGCGAGAGGCGTGTGCGAGAAAAAAGGTGCAGGACACGAGATCGATATTATAAACTTAAAATATTTTGTCATTTTATTATGTATGGAGAAATCTTTGATTTTTACTAATTTAATACTAATTCAATAAGCTATATTAATATTATATCTTAGAATGAAAATATTTCTATATTAAGTAAGACGATAAATTCGGGAACTTTAGATTATTAAACTAATAATTAAATTAATATTCTTTGGTTACATATTGAAGTGACTTAAAACGACTAAACTAAAAATGTGTCTTATAAAAACGATCAAGGCTTTTGACATTGAGAAATGAAGGATGCATGACCCATTTTTGATATATTATTATCATCTCAAGTGCGCCCGATTAATCACATTCCGCGTCTCGCCACTTCACTGCTTTAAAACGCGGTATAACGTTTACGGTCAACTGTGTAACAAAAATATTACCTTGTTTTCCGATTACATTGTTTACATAAGTTTGTTATAGTGAAATGCTTACACACTACCGCATATTTATTGCAACGACCCAGACGAGTTTTAAAACTATTGCAATATATTTGCGTGACAATAACAAAACTAACGAAACGGGTTAGAGGAAGTTTTCAACTACAGTTAAAGTTAAAGCACTGCAAATGACTATACCGTTATAAATTCATACACAACATGCAATTATATATATAATGCGATCCTGTAAACAGGCATAATATACTCGTGAAGGCTCATTGGTGTAAAATTGAGATCAGTACAGGTAGCTGTCTAAGGTAGCCTCCAGTAGTGTTGCATAAATTTTGATTATTGGTTTATCAACCCCATAACGGTCATACTCTCGTCATCGGTCATACGGACACCTCTAGACAAATGGAAAGTATCTTGTCAATATCGTAAGCATGAGATGGAATAGGTAATATCCGCTGTCTTGTTCTTGCACACAATAATAAAACAAATCTATTGACAGATACTTTTGCCACTTGTGTAAGGGAGATATTATTACTCAAGACGGTTACCTACATATCGGCATGTCAAAGCTTCTTTGTTTGGGGCCCCGATATATCTACTATTAATAGTGCAACACCAGCCTCCAGTTTCTGGTAGTTTAGTACACAGAATCCGACGCGTACGGGTTGGGTCCGTGGTCACATGGTCACGCGGTGGTTTCGCCGTGGTCACGATGTGGTCACGCTGTGGTCCCTGGGGTGCGGGCGGTGGGCCCGCGCCGTCACTCGAGCGGCATGTCCTCTGGTAGCCAACTATTGCTCTCCACTCGCGCCAGTTGCTTTCTTAAACTCTGGTACAACTTGATTAGGGATTCCTGAAATAAATGTTACATTTATATGAAATAAATGATGTTAGAATAACAAAATTATATCATTTTATCAATTAAAATAGAAGTAGGAATACCAATGAAATGGATCAGTTCTAGATGACGTAAACAAGTTTTTAAATTAGTGCTTCACAACACTAACACTATAATGAAAACCGCATCCAATTTGGTGTAGTAGTTTTTGGGTAATACCGAAACAAACAGACAGTCAAAATTTAAAAGTATTGTTTTAAATTCCATTTCTTTTTATTAAGATTCCTCATATTATTTTTTGTTAAATATCTATGAGCTGATCAGTTTTGACAATTCAAGAGTCTTGTACATACTTTTCATAAGGTGAACCGTCATCTTGTTTGGCATTGCAACTTGCACAAAAAATATAATAGTTATATGTTAACACGTGATCCATTAGTAAAAAAAAAAAAAAAAAAACAATAATTGTATAAGTGGACAAAACAATATTTACCTTTTCATTTTCTAACTGTATAATTTCTCTTTTTTGTCGTAATTCCTCTTCGTCCATCTGTGCTTCTAATTCTGATTTTTGGTTACTTAAATACGCTAATTCGGTTTGGACCTAGAATCGAAGAAAAATTTTATCAATGTCATAGGAGCATATTTTTTTTTCAAGTATATTTTAGGGATTGTGGGGTAAAATTTCTACTACGTCTACTGGGATAACATTTTCGTTTGAACATTTTTTATTAAAAGATAAGTCTCTAAAATTTACTAATTTTACAGATAATTTAATCTGGATGCTATTCTATTTTTCTTTGTAAATAATATTATAATTATTTATTGGTTACGGTTAAATATGAATATAATAAGTAATAAAAAATTGTATACAATATTAAATGTACTTCAACTTTATAATTACTTTATATTCATGATTTTGGTAACATGACTATAATTTTATTTAAAGAGTATAATAATCTATGTATTCTAGCTCCCATAAACAATTGGCAAATGAATCTAACGGATAGAATCGTTATCATTAGTAAATCTATTTGGCGAAGTATGTTAGTGATGTTGTTCTTTCTCATGCAAGCTAACAACAGTTTCGTTTGCTACTTTTCTAGTCGAGGGCTGATCCCATGGTAGGAAGAATCTTAAAAGTAATATTAGGCAACAAAATATAGTGGTAAGTCTAACCTTAAGATATTCTGGTGCTAATTGTTTATGTTCTTCATATATCCGCTTGGACTCCTCATTATTGAGGTCAGGGGAAATAGGCCTTAGATGCGGCTCGAGCATGGTGTGCATGGAGTCAAGCGCTGGATCAGGCTCTGGTGGGGGGGCAGCCCCCTCGCCTTGGGTCGACCCACTGCTATCTGAAAATAAAAAATACAAATGTTTATTATTTGTGTATATTACGTAACCAGTTTTAACCCGCGACTTAGTCCACGAATCCCTGATATGTCGTGTGACCGGAATAAAAGGTAGGCTATGTCCTTATCCACTTCAAATAGGTACTACGTGTAATTTCATGACGATTGGTTGAGGCATCAAGAGATAACAAACAAACAAATTTTCATATTTATAATACAAGTAAGGATGTAATATATATGTGTATGCATATTTGCATACTCACACGCAATAAAAGGGGTTGGGATCTCAGCTTTCTTTTTTCTAAAGGTTTTTGGGACGGGTTGTCTGAGAAAATCGGCAAATTAGCCGAGAATGAAATAAATAATATGTAAGGATGTTATAAATGTGAAAGTTTGTAAATGTATTTGAATGTTTATTATTGAATCACGCTTTAACCACTAAACGTATTTGAATAAAATTTGGTACAGAGACATTTCATATTCTGGATAAATACTTAGAACACTGTTCATCCTAATTCATACGATCCATAGAATGGGGTACAAATAGTATAATGCAGTATAACAACAAGAGAACGAATTCACTGGAAACTGCGGAATGTCTTTAGCTTAAGTTCTAATAGTTTCAATATGAATATTATGACTATATGATCATAGGGATCAGTAGGGAAGGTTTTTTGACTTTAAATATGCGACAAAGTTTAAGCTTAGGCTTAGACAGAATCTATGATCCAAACCATATTCAGTCCAAGATAGTTTTATTTGTAAAAACATAATTGATATCTAATAGTATCGTTCAAAGTTGACATCTATCATAACAATGTATTATATAAACTATTTATCTTGATTATCAGGAAAAAACGTAAAAATGTCTTAGCGTAATTTATGTTGATTAAGCGATTCAGCTCTGGAAGCTAAACTTCATCTAACAATATTTTTTTCAAACCATTTTAATATGCTTTTTATTGAAACAATAATAGGTCTTTTGTTATTTTAAACATTAAATTGTAATTGTTTTTATAACACAGAATTGTACTTATATTAGTATTCAATCGATTTATATGCAAGTAACCTTAATTACAAGCATTTTTATATATGCCTAGTAATTTTTATTTTATCAATTATAGGGTTCGTGATGGGAAAAATGTTTCAGAACCATAATAAAAGTACTCATTCTAATTTTAAGATTCAGTACAAGATAAAAACAAAACTAATGTTTTAATAAACTTAATTAAAAATTTAAACATCGATGGTACGCTTAATAATTATGTAGCTGAATAACGAAATACTGTATTGCATACAAATCAAGGGCACACAATAACAGAACCAATACAAACTATAATAGGTAGTTTTATTGTTTGGTTTTACGTTACGTGATAGATTCCCAGGTGAACAATGGTGTCGCTCGTCACAATTAATAATTATTCACACGAACTTGGTGTACAAAGCTAGAACAATCTTTGTGTATAGAGGAATCACTCGCAGTACCACGGCAGGGTTAAATACGTCAAGAGTTAAATTTACTTTGGGTTGCTGATGTCAGACGCTTCACCTAGATTTCTGCTTTCAGCGGGAGATTCATTTTTCCGCAAACAGATGGCAGCAGCGTTCTATACAAGACAATCACCTGTTGTTCATCATCACTGTATCTTTCTATACTGCATGTAGAACGGATAACTTTAATATTGTAAGCACAAATGATAATATGACGTATATGACAACTTCAATTTATAAATGTAAACAACAAAAATTCTACTTTTAATTAGTTATGTACATATAAGGACATTTAAACGTCGGTCACACAACATTTTTTCACTACATAAATTAATCACTATACAAACAACTATCTAGAAACGTTGTGAAAATGTTGTTTGGGATGTATTCAATTAGTACATAAACACTTGTCAAGTTATGGTAGCTGTATAACTTTTAACATAAAGATGTCAGTGGGATTAATATGGTTTGGTAGATAAACGAGTGAAGGGCAACTAGTACGCAGGCAGAAAGGCGCTGCCCACCACTGTAAAGGGCGGTGGAGTTTCCGCGTCATGTAAGTTTTCAGCGAGCGTTTAGTGTCCAACAGACGCGTCGGACGCGCGGCAGCGGACACTCACTGTAAAATATCCAACTACAGCTGACTGTGTCCCTGATGGTGGTGACGATGCCGGCGGAGGCGGTACACGCGTCGAGGCGGCGGAGGCGCGCGGGCGGCGCGGGCAGCGGAGTCATGGCGCGTCCTCTCGCGGAGACAGTGCGCCGAGCACTGCTGTGCACGCCACCGCCCGCTCAAAATAATCGACGGGAGAGCCGGGAGCGAGTGGTGCAACGAACAAATCGCCGCTATTCGCGGTGCGGTGACTCAGCGACGTCAGCCCGAGCTAAATGCGGACACCGTGTGCTGCCACCCTTCGCGAGGTTTTCTGACGGTTTTCTCTGGGAGGGCGCGCGCGCACCGCTCCCGCAGTCGGTCGACGACCTGCGCCTACGTCGTGATGCCTCTTGCACCCGGCACCGGCGCCGAATAACCCCGCCGCACCCGTGCACTTCATAGATCACTCAGTTGTAAACTGCTATCCACTGCGTTTACTAACAATCATTCGCTACGCTAGTAAGAGTAGCCGGATCGCACAGTAGCAGGGCTTGTTGGACGAGCGCCGGACAATCTCGCGACTCGCAACGTCGACACGTCACAACCGCAGGGATAATTTAGGGCTCGATTGCAGCATCACGACGAGCTTTAATTCATAGAACGATCGCGATGTGCACTGGCCAAGGTGCAGTGCGCAAAATCAACACAGGCCCGACGTAAATACATGTCATTTTAATATGACACGTGACATATTACATACCAACAACAACAAACATTTATCTACGTCATACAAGTTTCAAGAATCGAACTCGTAAATTACCTACGTCGTGTGCTAATATATAATATTTATTGTAATTAAAATAATGAAAATTATATGTCAGTTTGCACGAAGTTTCAGCTCATATAGAGTATAAATTATGTCTCAGGATCTTATCTGCTAGGCATATGACGAAGCTTCAAGTAATTTAGTAAGCTAGGAGTTGTACTGCATGTTAGACTAATAAATGAGGATATCAGCAGAATAAAATTACTGATATAGTAAAAAATATAGTTAAGTTTGTGCATACTTCAGGATATAAGCCAGTTAAGTAGTTCGAAGAACTAACAACCTATGCAAATCCAGTACAGGGCTATTAATTATAAAGAGTGAAGACCTCAACAGTGTTACAAAGAGTCAATAGATGTAGGCTTAACATTGTACCTTACTGTAGTTTAAGGCAGAGGTCAATGTTTAGCTGTCAACGATGAATGACTGGCATGATGATGATGAATTTATGTCATACATATTATAGTATAGTATTATTACATAGTATTTGGACAGTTGTAGAATGTGAATGTGTGTTGCCATTTTATGTGTGTGTATGTCTCTTAGTTAAAAATGCATTTACATCGACAAAATTATTTTATGATATAAAACGGGGAAAGTAGTGTCAGTACTGCACTCCCTGATGATGTCAAGAGTTTCTAAGTTGCTTTCATTGAGCATGAAAGTCTTTGACGTAGCATTTCGGACTATGGGTATACGTACCCTCTGAACCAAGATAAGAAGTATGTGACAATATTTTTTTAAATGATTCAGACAAGAATTTGAAAATACAGAGATATAAATATCGTAGTTTACTGGGATTCGATGTAAAAGTCAGTAGAGTGCAATCAAATGCTCCCTGACTGAGATAGCTAAAACGACAACTGATATAAAATAAAATACAGGCACGAATAGCGCTGCCCTTAAAATTGTATAGCCTGAGTAGCGTGCCAACATCGTATTTTAATAGCTCATTACACTCAAAGTATTACTTAAACAGAGTCCAGAATAATCCAACGCGTAAATCTTAATGTGTAACGGAAGCTAAGAACGGGCACTTACATTAAACCACAACTACAATCAGAAAGCACATTTCAAATGTAACACATGTATCTCTCAAAGATTTTTTATTAGAAACTATTACATTCAGTCAATGACTGTTATTTTGGTAGAGAAAATATGTATACTATTGTAGTATTTTGGTTTTAGTATTGTTCATGTACTCGTATACATTTTATAAATATATGAGACATAAGGTGGCGTAGTTACTTATAAATTGATAGCTGCAGGAGAAAAGTCGCTGTGCAGGATTTGTTGGGAGTAATATTCATAATAAAACAAGGTCGGATACTTTAGAATCTAATCCAACTACTATTATGTGCGAACTGTAAGGGTGTCGCTCTTTGGTGTCTACAGTTTTTAGGTTCAAGATTTTTTTATGTTAGAAGGTCCAACTTTGTTATTTTGTATCTGGAGAGAAATCCAGTTACTTTTGGATAGACCATAACGAATTTTACTTTAGTTGTGGAAAATGTGGTTAAGGGTAACTTGACAAATACAAAGACAGTATATCAAAAATCATTATTTAAGTATGATGATTTCAGTCTTATGAGATAAAATCAAGGAAGAAGGTGGAGAAGAAAGCAAGTTCTTGAAATTGGTGGGTGTGCACGAAAATAAATGCAGGACATAAGTATAGACCGTAAGGTAGAATAGAAATAATATGGTATTACAGGACCTACACGAAAAATATATTAATGTAGTTTGAAGTTATACGGCGTTTGACAAAAGGTTCGAGGCTAAAGTAAAGCTAAAAGATAGACTGCTTCTATCTTCTAGCATTACTAAGTAAGTAAGTTTAGATTAAACCCACAACGTAAAACCAACATAAAATTATTCATTAATGATAAATGAAACAATATAATATAATGAGAAAGGAATAAATAAATGTTCTTAGCAAGTTTACCCTAAAATAAATATTGTAGGTAGGACGCTCACTTCGTCGAAATTTACTTTAAAAAAAATAGTGTTTAAAAAATACGCATGTGCAACTAATTCCGTTAGGCGGAAGTGATAATTAACGAGTAGTAAGTGAGGACGGGATGTCGCTTC